ATCCTCCCTCCACCCAGCACCTTTTACTGTATTGGCTTTAATGTGTTCTCTTTGTACTCCATACATCCCTCTTGGTCCACAGAACCTAGGAATTGACAAACAACCCCTACTTAGAGGTATGGCCAGCCTGGACTTCTGTAGAAATTCCGACCACCGAAGGAGATATGGTATTTAGTTAGAGTGAAGTGAAGCCCTGCATAAATCATAAAGAGGTGAACCCAGGTTAGTCAAACAGGACCCTAGGAGGTATTTGGGGAATACACTTGCAGGCGGTTTTATTTCCCTACATTTGATTTACTTCCAAAATCTTTAGGCTCACAAGTACCCCAGGAGTAACTTGGCTCTCCAATGCTGAGCAGGTCTTGGCCCTGGAGCAGAGTTCTGGTGTTGTTTCCTGCCTTCCCACATTGCTGTTTTCCACACGTGGATCAGGCTTCAAACTTCCTGTGTCTGGAGTGTGTGTGTGTGTGTGTGTGTGTGTGTGTGTGTGTGTACACGTGTCCTTTGGTTCTTGTCCTGTTCAAACAAGGCTATTCTTTTCTGGAATCTACATGTTTAGGACTGAGGTGTCCAGAAATCAGTTGGAACCTGAGCTTTATGCAGCTGCCCTAGAGAAGGCAGATTTTCAGCATTTTTCTCATTTGTCTTAGGCTGTTTTCCAGGGGTTGAGGGGGAAAGGGAGCAGAACTGTGTAGGCTTTGTTTGCCGTAGTGTAGTGTATGTGCTTGCCTCTGCTTTTGTTCCTAAGTGCATTTAAATGATTCAGTTGTTCACAAGGCAATTAGAGGAAGATGTGCTCATTTCACACTCCCAGTTACTTGGTGGGTGGAGGAGAATGTCTCTCAATGCGAAGCACTGTGCTTCTATGAACTTTCCTTCAAGAATATGGCAGCATGGAAGAATGGACTATCTTCCCTCACTCTACCTTCTGCTTGTCCTGGAGGTCAGGCAAAATTCTAGATATGAAAGACAGACGTTTTATTAAGACATTCATGAGGTGACAAAACTTTAAAAATGAAATTTTCCATGAGGTACATATGACTTTCAATTTCTCTTGCAAAGGTAGAAGTCCTGATAAGATAGAGCTGTGCTCCAGCTGCGCACTTTACAGGCCTCCCTTCTCCTATTCTCGGTAGCATACATCACTGTATTGATTTTAAGGACATGTAAAACTGAAGACACTGTGCAAGCATCGCCACGGCCTATCCCCAAACATCTTGTCTCTAAATGGAAACTTTTCCCAAGAAGCACTGTCTTCTCAATGACATTTTTGCTATCCCACTCTTTTTTTCCCCATGAATTTCCATCCTGTAGGTCCCTCATATAAGTAGAGTCACACATTTGCCTTTTTGCGGCTGGTTAACTTCATTGCACATTGTATTTCCAAGGATCATGTTTACTTTTTACAGACTCTTTTTCTTTTCAGTACAGAGTTTCTAAACTAAAGGAGGAATTTCATTTTATGAAAAAGGTCAAACAGGGTACATAGCATGGAATGAAGCATATGTAGTTCTCAGATGAAAATGTCCTTGTTTTCTTTCTATTTTTTTTTAAATAGTAAGACCCCTTTTAAAATGCAGCACTTGAGTAACCCAGTGTCTTTACACAGGTGTTTTACAGCTAGTGGCTAATTCTCCTGGTATCCCCCAGAGGGCTTTCCATGTTTTATAGGCAAGTCTTGAAGACATGGGGATGCTGTAGGGATTAGTTAAATGTGTGTGGCATAGTTTGCTGTGTAAACTCGATCTCTGAAACTTAGTTTTCACTCCCTGCTGTTAACTTCCACAGCTTTGACCATCAACACCGCTCATTTAGCACTTAATATACACTTGTTAGTTGTCTTTTTATGTTTATGTGCTGGAAGGAAGGAGACAAGTCTCATACCTTTTTGTTTTTCAAGTTCTGTCCATAATAGCATTTCAGTCTATGTTTGTTGATGTTGCCTCTTCTTCCCTTTTAACTAGAGCAGGCAATGCAGAGCTTTCTCAAACTCGGTTTAAACAAACAAATGATTTTCAGGCTAAAAACACAGAGGAAGTCTTGCAAGGCAGGAGTGTAGGACAGCTTAAGAACTTAAGACATTTGGAAGACCACCCCCCCCAGGGGACACAGAGTTACCTGAAAACCTGTTGTTTGCCACAGGTTCAGTCATAAATGACTCACACATTGCCTGATTCGAATTTCAATTTGTTGAGAGTCAAATCCAAGGTTCAACACGCAAGCACATCACAATGAATCTCTGACAATGAATCTCTGGGCTTTTACTGTGGTGACACAAGATTGGAAACCGCCTTCTTAGTAAGAAGTTGAGTGTCAGGGTTTTTGCTGAGTTAAGAACAAAGTGGAGATAAAGGTAGTTTTCCTGGTATGGAAGGACATTTAAGAGACGTCACTGAATAAACAAATCCAAGGTATGCTGTGAGAGCAGACCCTACCTGTAAGACAGCAAAAAGAACTCACCACTGGTTCCTTGTTTTATTTTCATCTCTCTATGTGCATATATTATCTTTCCCATTTTAACAGCATTGTTGAGTACCAAGTTTCCCTTTGTGGTTATGATCCATAACAATCTCTCAGGATAGTCCCATAACTTTTAGTTCCTATGTCCATGCTTCTAAATAGAGAACAACCCTGCCTCTTGAACTAGACGTTTCTATGTTTTAAACATTCAAAAAAATTGTACCTTCCCTATGGAAAAAAAAATCACCCAAGTAACCTCTCCTCACACATAGAATGAATCCTACTCAGAATCCATTTTGCCATGGTGCCAGCCTCTGAATCAGCAGCTACTAGCAGAACACATTGTAACATTTTGCAGCAAGCCACCCACCTGATACCTTTCATATACCCAGAGGGATATTTGGAGACCCCATTTATTATGACTCAGTGTTTCTTTTGAGCATACCTCCCAAGGCTGCCATTGGGTGGGCTGGAATTGGATGTCCCTCTTTAATTTGCTTGACTTCATTATAACAGCTCTGAATGGATGGTAGTCCTTATACTTTTGCTTGTTTCCAAACCAAATGTTTTCTAAATGCAGATCTATAGAGAATGGTGGTTTCCATGGAAAATCGTTATATCACTTTGCCAAGTTCACTTTGGTGATACACAGCATGATTCCCTCTTCCAGCATCAGCACCACAATGGCTTTAGGCCATGGTGAAACTGCAAAAACGGTTTGCAAAAGAAATCGCAGTTACCCTGGTTAGAAGAGGGTAGCTGAGATTACTAACTGCAGGAAGTCAACTTCATATCCACCATCAAAACTATAGGAAAAGACTTGGCTTTTCAAAATAAAACCACAGCACTTACACAAACCTGTATAGAAATGCTTGAAACAGATGAGCTATAGCTCCAGCATGTGTGTCACATAAGTGTGAAATGATTCAGAGTTTTTACATACATTTCATTTTATTTTCATATCTGTACCACTAAGAACTGAGTACATGCCTTAGAGCATTTTCTTACAGATAAGGAAATTAAAGTCCTTTAAAAGGCACACAGCTAGGTAATATGTTCCAGTGAATTCTTCCTTTGGTTCAACTTCCTTGTTATTTTGCTCCCCCTTTATTGCTTCTTTGTGTTTTCTTTTACCCAGATTTTAAATTGTAGGTTCCACCCCCCCCATCCTTGTGTCCCACGATGTTGTCACACTCAATTCTCCGTGTATTTGAGCAATACGGATTTTTTCGCAGTCAGGAAATATAAGCACCACATTGACATCACACGTACTTTCCCTTTCCTGATTTAATGAAACAAGAGGGAAAAGTTACGTATTCCCGGGGAGTTGGATAGTGCTTTCAATATAAAGTTATATCCCAGTTGGCAAACACGCTGTCGCACCCTTTCACAAGACTGAGAAGTCAACCGTCTCGCCTATCTATCTCAGCAGAGGCTGGGGGAAGCACAGTGAGCGAGACAATAGTCTCTTGTTTAGTTTTATTAATTTTGAGGGCGGTGCGATCAAAGTATCGGACTGGCGACTGAAAGGACCAATCGTAGGCCAATAGCGGGCATGATGGGCCAATGAATAAATGCAAAAAAAATGGTGGGTGGAACTTATTCAAGGCCCGCTCTGCCAACGCAAGTACTCCCAGCCTGCTCAAGAGGTGGAGCTTCCTCCAAGCCCCGCCCATCCCCTGGTGCCCTAGTGGCCTGCCTCTAGGAGGCAAGGACCCAGGTCGAGATTCGAGGCAGGAGGCAGGGGAAGGTGTAAAAAGGATGAGGCTGGGGGTGGGGTAGGGTGGGGATAGGAAGAAAAGAGAGGGATCTCGCTGACTTTACACTGAGTAGGCTGTCAGTGGGTCAAAGGTAACAAGGTGGGGGGGATGAAGGAGAGGGGCTCCTTCCTGAATTTTGTGAAGCTGGCTTTGGCTGATGCTGCTTTTTCTGCATTTCTACGTTTTTTTTTTTCTTCCTCCCGAGATGGGGCGCGGAGCTGCGATGACTTCTCCCACACTATTCTGCGGCGCTGTTGCCATAGATTATTAAAGTCTTTGAAACCCCCCCCCCCGCGCAAAAGAAAATAAAACGTGCCTTTCTTTTCTCGCTTTAATTTCTGCAAACACTATCGGAACTACCGTCACCAAGTCGAGTCCAGCGCGTGGGAGGAAGAGAGCCAGCGAGTTATCCCAGCTCTCTCCTGGATTCCCAAACTAGCTGATCAATTGTTTGAAAGTTCCCCGCCCAAAGGCCGCCTCTCATCCTGGGGCGCCGCCTCCTCCCCTTTGCCCGCCAGGGTCCTGCTGGCCTCCCTCCCGCCTCCCGCCCTGCTGGCCCCGCCCTCGGCCCTGCCCATTCCATCTTCCAACCCCCTCCTTCTGGGCGGTCCTAGCTGCTCACCGCCAGAAGAAAAGCCACCCGTTCCTCCCCTTCTTCCACCTCCCATCCTTCGCTCAGGAGCTGCCTTCATCGCAGTCACGCCCCTTCCTTCCGAGGAGCTTTCTGGCTGCGTTCGCTGGTAGACCCCTGAATTACTCCTCCATCTCCGTTCTCTTTCGTTTCTTAATTCCCCTCGCCTTCCCCCATTACCACCACCTCCAGCCGATCTCGCCTCCCACTATCCGCTGCTCCACCCTCCGGCCCGGTATCCTGCCTGCCTGTCCACTGCCACCAAGGAGAGACCCGAGGGAGCAACGAGGTGGGGAGTAGCCGGGACCTGCGGCTTCCTCCCTACCCATCCCTGGCCTCCGGCCCGGGACCGAAGCCACTTGAGCCAGCGGAGAGAGTCGTCACCGTGTCTTCATTGCCTTCAGGGGTAGGAGAAACGTCGTTACTTTTTGCGGGGAACTGGGGCAATAGTCTATGGTATTGCGAACTTGATCATGCCCTTATTTGTGAGTGGGTTGTTGTATGTGCCTGTGGGGATTGCCTGTATGTTCTTTATTCTTTGCTGTTGGCCTTGGGTTTTCATAGGGGGTGCAAGAAGTTTAAAACAGTTTAAAAGTATGGACTCCTCTCCTAATTCAAGGTGGAGATGCTGGAAGGTACCACTCCTGGTGCTTTTTTATGCCCTCCCTGGGTTCTTGCAGGTCCCTACTGAATTGATTACTTAAGGAACTAAAGAACTTAACTAAGTTAGGGACATTGAAGTCTACCTTTAGTCCTGCCTAAAGGTTTGCCCTTATCTCAGATATCTGGATGGCTTGGGGTGGGAGCTCACCCTCCCTGACCCCAGGGCCATGAATTCTTCAAGTTTTAAAATGTGGAAGTAACACACCACACAGCTACTAGATTTATGCATGCATGTGTGTTTGAGTGTGGTGGTGGTGAGGTTCAGGAGGCATCAGAGACTGCCGTTACTTGCTTCATAAGAGCAAAAGATTTTAATAAGCAGTTTTGCAAGATCACGCACGTGTTTGTTTTAAGGTCCGAGCCTTGGCTACTTTTGTTCACCAACAAGACTAACTTCATAGATAGGTGAAAATACAGAGTAGGGAAAGGAAGAGGGAAAGAGATAGATTTTATAGCCGAGAGTAATTCCTGATGATTGCAGCTAATAAAAAATATGCTAATAATTTTCAGCAAGGGACTAAATGCAAGTTAATGAACGGTGAACAGGAAAGATTTGAGAAGGCCTTTTCTGATAGTGTCCCTTGCCTTCACGAAGGGTAGATGTCAGACAGTTTCAAACTCTATGAATATAAGCTTTTCCTCTCATTTAGAGAGAATGATAACTAATCACCATAATCTTTAGTGATGAAGGGCTAAGGTTATGAAGTCTTCTCTGGTTTGGCCATGGGAAACATTCTTGCTCAGGCCAACTTGTGAAGCCTCCTCAGACCTTGCAGTTACCCTCATTCAGTAGCTAAGAATAGTCAGAAATGCCATTTTGGAAAGGGGATAAATTGTCACCTATCCCTCCACCTCTCTTAGGTTGGGCAAGTGCTACAAGCTTATGAGACTGGTGGTGTTGAAAGACTTCTTACTGAGATGTCCCAAATCTATTGCTTATTCTATAGGAAAGAAGTCATTTACTTATATTTTAAGCAAAATTTCTTTGCTTGATTTTAACTGGGGTGAGGGTGGGGGTTGAAAAGTTAAGGTGGAGAGGGGATGTTACAAAGTTACATGGTGACAATTTTAAAGGCTATCATGTTTCAGATCAGCTGGGAGGGAAAGGCAGGCCTGGGACATTTTAATAGCCAGGTGGTTGTAGAAAAGTCGCATCTATTTACAGATGATACCTCAGGTTCCAACTATTCTGTATGGGTTTGCCTGGTGTCAATTTACAGGCACTTTCTGACTCTACATCATACTTCATTTTAAGTTACTTCTTTCTTTGGAAAACTTTGTGTCTCTGTAAAATTGAAAGTTTTGTTTTCTCTTCTAATTCACAGCCTAGGTGCAAAAGTAAACCTGTAACTCCACCTGTATGTACAGTAAGTTTTATATGGACATCGTAAATGCCTTCACTGGATGACAAAATAGAAAGAGATTTTAGCCGTTCACATTTGACATTGAGATTTGGACCTTAAAGTGTAATTTTGTCATTGATGAAGTAAGGCTTATTAGACTAATGAATAATGGCATTTTCTGAGGTTGGTTTTCATCCATTTTATATTTGTATAGAATGAAGCGGACTTTGGAATGCTAATAGGAAGATAGAGGGATGAATATTCTGACTTTGACGTCCCATTGAGTGCCAGCATTCTAAGTGGGTACATCTGCTTCTGGGCCTCTCCTAAGAGCTCTCTCCCAGGGCCTGTGCCTTCTTTAAAAGGGTGTCTTTGTAATTAAGCAGCCCTTCCCCCCAACTCCCTTCTTTTGATCCACTTTTTAGGCTTATTTTCCATTTGAAGACAAGAGGAGTTTCTCACACCCTCCTGCTCCCCTCTTAACATTTCTTTTCCTTTATCCCAGAAAATCACAGCCCAACACCAAGTTCTCAGGATGGTTTGCAGTTTTGTTGTGTTTGGGAGAGAAGGAGAGTTCCCAGTGAGGAGGAGTAGAGGATATATTCCCTCTTGGGAAATGCTTGTGGCCAGGTAGCCTCCTCCATGGAGACTGAGCTTTTGGAATGCATGAGAACGGTCTATTCTTCAGGACTGTCTGGTAGAAATTGTTCTTTGCACCCATTAAGCCCAGCTTAAACCCACTGAAAGGGTTGGAGAGAGGTGTGTGTGGTCGGGCCTATCCTTTTAGGGTGGTAAATGTTTCCAAATCTCCTATTACATCATTTCTTTCTCCCATTGATTCAGAGGGTTTAGAGATTTGTGTGACAAGTTAATTAGCTGGGGACTGACCCAATTTGTTTAGAATTGTGATCTATTGATTTCCTGTCCTCAGTAATTTTTGTTGGTGTTTTACTATGATGTGTAGTCTTTAGCATTACTTTTCATTCCTTGTTGCCTTTTGTGGACTTTGGTCCAAAATCTAGGTTCCCACCCCCAAGTCAAAGGTTAGAACTTAGTTGTAGGAACTTAAGGGGGGGTATTGAAGAGGCTGGGATACCGCATTACTCTCCTCCATGGTGGGCTTCTGACCCTTTGTAAGGAAGTTGCCCCTTCCACATACAACACACAAAATCTGAACACAAAAAAAAAAAAAAAAAGGAAGAAAGAAAATGAAAGAAAGTAGGCCATTTGCTTTATAAAAGCATCTATTTACACGGGCTTCCTTGAACAGAACTAGTTTTCCTAGTGTCCTTAAACTATGACTTGATAGGTTGAAATTAAAAAAATAAACTTAATATAACTGGGCTTACTCAGGATCATATTTATTGCATAAAGGACTACATTAGCATTTGCTATGTTGATTGTGTTGATTATTGCCTGAACTAAATGAGGCTGCTATTGGGCTTGAAGCCTTTTGTTATATGGGATGGAGTTAATTGTCTATATCATTCTGGCTTGTAATAATACTGGCCACATTCGACTCAGCCCACACATGGTTGTAGGAAAGAGTTAGCATTACTTTCTGGAACAAATCTAACTTTGCAGATTTTGCATGTCTAAGGACGAGACACCTTATTTTTGTAAACTATTTTCTTTCCAGTTATATTTGACTAGCCCAAGGACCTAGAAAGTTGGATTTTTGTTTACTTGCTGTTTTTTCAAAATATAAGAGTCTGTGATAGGCTTTCCAGGTGAGCCTGTTGCTTTTTTTTTTTTTTTTAATATAAGAGTCTGTGATAGGCTTTCAGGTAAGCCCGTTGGGGAGATGACCTGGCCTTTAGCAGAGTTTCCTCCACTGTAAATAGTGAAGATGGCACTGGGTGATTTTGACAGTCAGTTCTCCAAAGTTCATGCTTATCTTTTGAGGCTTCACTAATCTGGTGTGCCTTTTAATGACTGCTACCAGAATGAGGCACAACAGTTGTTACAAATTACAATCCTGTACTCATCCTGTGTGTAGGGGGATGGGAGTGGGGATGAGTCTGTAATAATGTAGTTATAGAAATGTGTTTTCTATTTCAGCCATCTTAGATAATAAACTGAAGACTCAGTACAAAACTTTGAGAATCCCATTAATTTTTTGTCCTGGTCCCTCTACTGATGTGAATTGCCCATAGTTCGGGTCATAGGCGTATGCAATATTGCCTTTAAGTAAGAGCCTGTCACAGACAAAGCTTTCTAACTGGTAATGGAGTTGGAACCGAAGTGAGTACGTGAAGAATATCATACATTTTCTTCCCAGAATTCTAGGAGGGACAAACAGGTTTAAGTGAGTTCTAAACACTCCCTGGGACTTATGAGTGGTTCATCTCTGTGTGTAGCAAGCCCATTAATGATATTATCTGACCTCCTCTTACACACTTAAAAACCTACACGTGGAGTTGGGGGGGAGATGGGATGGGAGGGTGGTTGGGGATAGGAGGGTGGAAGAGAAGGAGGGAGGGAGAGGGAACTGGGATGGATATGTAAAATAAGAAAAATAAATAATAATAAAAAAGGCTATGAGATAAGACAAGAGGATTGTATATAGAGGAACAAAGTGACATTAAATATCTGAATCTTGCCTAAAAATAAAATAAAAAATAAACAAACAAAAAAAGACCAAACCAAAACAAAACAAAACAAGACAAAACAAAAACAAACAAACAAACAAAAAACAACTAAAACCCACCGTCTACTTATCTAAATCATTGGATTGGAAATTAATTTTTTAAATTGATGCATCATGCTATCTCAAGATAGTTATAAATTCGGATGGACTGTGAAGGCTCCAGAATAAGATAAGGGGAGCAAGAAAGCCTAGATATGCTTGTTGGATAGCATCAAAAATAATGTTTGTCAGCCTGGGTTTGGGAAACTAAAGATCACAGCATATAGATACAGTACACAGTGGTCCACACACGAAAGGCTCTAATTATTTTTTTTTATGTTTTATTTGTGTAATGTTTTTAATGAGTGCTCTGTCTGCATTTCTGCCTACATGCCAGAAGAGGGCATCTGATCCCATTATAGATGGTTGTGAGCCACCTTGTGGTTGCTGGGAATTGAACTCAGAACCTATGGAAGAAGAGCTGGTGCTCTTAACCATTTTTTTTCCTTTTTTTTAATTATTTATTTTTTTTATATAACAAAGTCCATTTAAATGAAAACAAACATTTATAGACTATATTTGGGAATTTGGGCGTCATTCTTTCCAAACTACTTCCTGCTGGTAAGGGGCGCTGTCATGGGGGATTCGAAGAAGATTCAGAAATCCTGGCTGTAGTCTGTAAGGCTGCTTTGTCCAGCTGTTTTGAATGTAGGATCACCTGGTACTCTGTTTCAGGCGGTTTGGCTTGATGAAACCATATTAGTCTGGAAGGAATCCACATCTTTTCATTTTCTGTGGAAACAAAAATAGAAATCCTTTTCCCCAGTAACTTGTCCTTGAACTTAAATTTTGGAGTCAAAGCATTTTTTTAATTTAATTTATTATTTTACATGTCCATCGCTCTTAACTATTTTAAGCCATCTCTCCAGCCCTTTTATTTGAGACCTTTAATCATAGAGAAACTTAAATTTCATGGACCTTTAATAAATAAAACAGTCTTCAGTCAAAATACAAGTACTGAAATCTATACATTTCCAAGTGAAGTCCAGGCGTATGTTTCATACTTTGTGCTCCTGGGGGAAGAAATGCAGGTGGATTTATTTGGTAACAGTTCCTAATGCAAATCGTCCACCTCCCCCCTCCCACACACACGTAGATTTGCTTGACATTTGTGAAGTCACACTCATTTTTTCTCTGGCTGCCTGAAATGGCATTAGTTTGTGTGACTTGAAGCCAGGACTTGGGATTCTCTGCCCAGCCCCTCTCTGACTTGTCATGTGACCTAGGGTAGCTGAATTAGCTGCTCTAAGCTTCAGTTACTCTTCTGGGAAGTGAGGATATTAATACTTCACAGAGGTGTTTAGGCATGCTCCATATTGGGCATATGCTTTGAGGTCATTGGATGAAAGGTGTTTGTTTGCATGATGGCCGAGCAGGGTTAGTAGAGGCTCCTGAGCAGGTGTTTGTATTTAATGAATTATTTTCTCTCTCTGCCCTATTGCCTTGCTGAGTATAATTGAGACTGACCCTGTTTTGTGTCATTGAACATCTCCACCTTTAAAAAAATAAATATTTTCATATTCTGTGATAGGTGAAGGTAAAATAAAAGGACAGTAGTGACAGTCAGGATAAGGAAAATAGTTTGAGAAAGAGGCATTAGTTGGAATGCCCCCTAGTGTCCAGGGAGTTCTTGAAAACCCCTTTAAGCAGTTAGAGTAAAGCAAATTTTGATGTGTCTATGTTTTTAGGAAGAACGTTTTGAGGAATATTTGCCTGTGATAAGTTCTGGTGATAGCCAGTAACTGAAACCCAGCTATTGTAGTGTGTTGTGCACAGCTGTTTTTTATTAATGATGGAATATTTATGCTTGCTCTACAATCCGTGGCTCATTTCCATGTGTATGTCAGAACTTAAATACCCCCAAAGGCAACATTAAGATAACATTAACTATAAATGTGGCCAAACTAGAGAGGGTGCATTTGAGGGGTACCTCCCTTACATTTATTGATGTTGTTTCAGATTACAATAGCTGCTCACCTTTACACATTGATGCTGATCTTCCCCCTTCTTCTATCGCCCCATTGTAAACTTCAGGTTTTGATACCTTTGATATGGACAAATGATTGGCTCCCCCCCTTTATTATGCACATGAAACTGACGTATATATTTTTTAAGAACATTTTTTTTTTCCCGGCACATGCTTCTCATTATCCGAGAGGCCTGGACTCAATCAGTAAAGGAGCAGGGAAACCACATAATTGAAAGGAGAATGACGGTGGTGCATACTTGGAATATTTGTGGGAAGGGGATTGCTGACATCAGAAAATGCAGTGGCCCGAGTGCTAACAGCACTGAAGAGAAACCAGCTTTCTGCATTTCTGTGTATTGAGAATTATTTTAAGGCGATGCAAATATGGGCCAGGTTTGACATCTTTTATGAAGTTGTCCTGGAAACTTGGAAGGTTGTTATAGAAAGGTTCAATTACAACCTTCCCTGTTAGGAAGCTAATTAGCGCATCCGTCCTTTACTCACCCATTTTAGTTGTTTTCAAGGGGCACTGATTTGCACAGAATTAGTGACATCCTCCCTCATGTGATAGCAAACTAAGATTAAAAATAAAATCACAGATGAGGAAAATCATTTAGATTGCCAGTTCTGAAGAAATAGAATTTCCTCTGTTACCTTGGGCTTTCCGTTGTAGATCTTTGTTTTACTCTGTTTATACAGTGATCCCATTTTAATTTAGTATCCAGTTTTATCTTGTGGATCATGAGTTATAAACCACAATCTAATAATGGGAGTTCTCTGTGTGATTTGGGGAAATATAATGGCTCATAACGCACCACTTTATTATGGCAGTAGTCTATTTTCTGTTCTTCTGTAATTTCCTTCTCTCTTTTTCTGTCTACTCTTGTGTGTGTGTGTGTGTGTGTTTGCCTAAGCACATGTATATGTCAAGAGGAGGAGAGAGAGAGGGGGAGAGAGAGGGGGGGAGAGAGAGAGAGGGAGAGAGAGAGAGAGCCAGGGCAGTTTGTCTTCTAAAGCAGTTTTTGGAGCTAAGAAAATATTGATGACCTGCTTTGCCCCCCAGAGCATTCTTTTTGCCAGAGGCTGGCAGTTAAGATTGTATAGAGCAGTGTGGTAAATTTTCTGACCCGATTTTTCTATGACCAGGCTAAGCACTACTCCCCTGGTAGCAAGAAGGGGAAGGTTTAGGGTGGGGCTAACCATAAGCATAGGCTTCCTAATAGTTTCTATTTTACTTCACCTCTTTTAGGGAAATAAGCATTGACTTCTGAGATTTCAGGACCATGTGCATGTGCAGAAGAATAGATGTTCTATAGAGGTATAAAAGATAAGGTCTACTTTGAGCCTCCCTTACCTCCACAGCTTGTAGGAGAGAGTACTCTTTATGCATATGTAGTCCCTGATGCCTACCCCACTGGCCATGTGAGCATTTTTTAGTTTCTGTTAGTGGGGCTATGTTACTTACGCTACATAATATATGTCACAACTGATCTTACTCTATTCCTTGAGAAGGTATGGTCTAGATTCAGTTCTACAGGGCAACACAATCGAACTAGGTTTCTGGTTCTTGTAGGTCAGGAGGAGGAGGGGCTGCGTCTGTCTTAGGAAAGTGACTCAGGTTCTTGGGCATGAAGATATGAAACATTGGCTCTTAGCCATGCACCTGCTGGATGCCACACCTGCAGTCAGCACCTGAGCTCCACTCGGGCACAGAAAACGTGACTGAAGGCAAATGGGGCTCCTTTCCAAAGTCATACAGTAAAATGGGGGACTCGAATTATGGCAGTACAACACCCTTGAGAGTTAGATGAAGTGAGTCATCCTCCTGTTAGCTTGGAGAAATGTCTTAATACTTTCTTGTAGATGAAACACACTTACTTAGACACACTGTTAGAATGCTGAGGGGATTTGTCTTTTAGAATATGTTGCTCTTATTTTAAATTAAAATTTAACTAAAAAACTTTCTGTTATACACTGTCTTCTTCAAAACCAGACAAGATGTTTGTTGAAGGATTTGTCTTTTACTTGAACATAGGGCAGGAAGTCACAAGATTTGGTGTCTGATACTGATCCTACTGGAAAGCACCAGTGAAAACTTGGTCCAGTTAGTTAACATTAGCTATTTGTTCTGGATTCGTGTTTCTTGAGTTGTAAAGTGGAGTTAATCACATCTGTCTTCCACCCACAGCTGCTGAGAAGGCTAACAGAAGTGGCAGAACCGTGGACTCTTTAGAAAGAAGGCTGAGAAACTAAAGGTAATAATAATGTTAGTATTCTATGTCTTTTATATCTTTTCTTCTGTTTTACCCTTTATCAAAGTCTTTGGAAAGTTATTATCCACTCTATATGCACTTATTGAGCACACTGAATACATGTGTTACTGTTCTAGGTTCTGGGATAGAAATAACATCCATCCCATGTCCTTCAAGATCTCATATTCTAGCAACTTGCACATTCAGTTCTGGCTAAACTTGATGCGATTTCTCCAAGCTTAGAAATCCAAATGAGGAGAATTACTTTCTTGTATGTCTCTGAATTAATTACTATAGGAGACTTTCATCCCTGAAGCAAGGTCTTCCTGATTGAAATTACACAGAGGGGGTGACGAGTAAATGCAGAAATTTGTTTCACATTTTCAATGTACACAGTCCTTGAATGGTTTTCTTCAGGGGTTCAAAATTCTTTCTCCCTTGCTGAATTCTGTTCCTATTCACTTAAACACATGCTAACGTCTTCCAAAGATCTATTTCAGTATGTCTTTGAAATCATATTGGCCCACAAATTGAGGGCCTTCTATTCAGCTCATTTTTTTTTTCCTTTTTGTCTTGTGAGAGATATAGTTCATGGCTCTGTGTTCTATGGAAATATTAGATTAGACCTACACAGGACCTCTTGATGCTTGAACTTGGATTATTTGTTTTTTTCTACTCCAGTGTATTCTTGAGCTATGTGAAAGTTTAACACTTTTAGCTATAGTAAATTCTCACTAAATGTTGGTGGTTTGTGCTAAAATTGAGCTGTATACAAAGGACCATAAGAACATAAAGGGAACAGAATTCATTTTCTATACTGAGCAGAATTCAGGGCAGGGAAGAAATGAAGATTGATTAGTGAAAATCTTTGAAAGAGGAGCTGAACTACACTTTTCTGAGTGTTCTAGAAAAGAAGTTAACAAAATGGCCATCATGAGAAGCCAGGGGCATTTCTAGTCTGCTCCCTTCACTGCTTAAAACCTGAGTGGCTTTTTATGTACAAATATGTGAATAAACTTGTGCTTATAATACATTGGCCATTTACACAGGTGGAATTTATTCATATTATATTAAATCAGGTCATCCTTTAATGTGCTACTTTCATTGAAGCTGCAAATAGAGCCATGCACACCGGCTTCTTGCTCATGTACCTTCAGATTTAGATAGCAACATGCCCATTAGGATAGATTGAAGATTGGGAACTCAAAACTAACAAATTCTGTTCTCAGAATGTAACAGGCTAGGTCACTAGAACTGAATGTCTTCAAGCTGGACTGTCAGATCTTTCCAAGGGCAAAAATGAAAGATGATATAAGCCATTACAGGCCATGAACCTGTTCTCGCCCATCTGATGTTCTTACTAATTATCTTCTTGGCCAAGTGGCAATTTGGGGCAAGTGCATGCAAGCTAGATTCCTAGGGGAGCCTACATTCCACTCGCTGCCATTTCAAAAGCCACTGAAGTCCTACACTGCCTCTCTTGTCCTTAGCTTCCCAGTGTCCCCAGAGCCCTGCTCTGACCTGGTGGAGAAATGGGGGCAAAAGAGTATTTTATTAAATGAAAGAAAGATTTCATGGGGCTTTAGTGTGCTGCTATTTTTGTTTGCGTGTTTATTTTTTAATGGATTGTCACAAACGTTTGTGCTCCTTGACCTATCAATGTCAAGTGTGGGATTGTATCATTAAGAAATTATATTTCATTAGGAATAAGATTATATTAATATCATTAAGAAAATACACTTTTCTAAAGTATGGCAAAGGTTTAATTCACAAAGATGTTTTTAGAACACTGTGTAGACTAGCTCAAAATTGGAAGCCATTTGACTGCCTTAATTGGAAATTGGGTAAGTGCATCTTGATACACTCATATAATGGACCATTACATGACCATTACAGCATTTGTTATGACACTTGTGACAAAATATGGGAAAAGGCTTACAATGAAATGTAAGGTCCTATATTATGGGTATATTTATGGCTCTTTGTGCTGGTTGTGGTGGCTCATACCTGTAATGTCAGTCTGGGTAAACTGAGCAGAATGATTGCCATGAGTTTAAGGCCAGCATGGACTATACAGTGAGTTCCAGGTTAGTCTGGGTTACGCAGTGAGACACTGTGTCCAAAAACAAAAACAGGTGTCTTTCATTGCTTTCTAAAGGTCAAAATAGAACATTCAAAAATACTAACAATGCTAAAATACTGGACTTATGAGTGATTTATCTTCTTGATGATAAATTTTTGCATGCTGAGTTTATGTTATTCATAAAAATAAAGTATAAATAACAATACCATAATGGAAGGAGATTGTAAAAGGCAACAAGTATCTAGGGAGATTCTTAAACTTTCTTCCTTTTAGGTTCATCCTGATCTTATGGTTTCCTAATACTTTTTCTAAGTCATTAAGTGGTGAGGTATGGTAACACGGTTTAGCAATCCTGTTTATAAATGGATGTATATCAGAGGATAAAGAGTGTTGGGGAATAGGATTCACCCCACTACTCTGTTTCACCGCCCCATCCACTGTCTATAGGATAACTTTGTTGCCCATTAATATGCTGAGGTCTGGCTGGAGAGATGACTCAGAGGTTAAGGGAGCTGGCTGCTCTTCCAGAGGTCCTGAGTTCAATTTCCAGCAACCACACGGTGGCTCACAACCATCTGTAATGAGATCTGGTGCCCTCTTCTGACCTGCAGGGATACATGCAGACAGAACATAATAAATAAATAAATCTTTTAAAAAAAATATTGAGGTCAAGATAAACGAAAGTGTAAGTGGGATAAAAAATGACCAATTCTGATCTGGGCAGGGTGACTCAGGGTTAAGGCACCTGCCTCTGGGAAGACTTGAGTTCCATCTCCAGGATCTTCAAGGGAGAAGAAAACAACAGACTCTTGCAAGTTTACGTCTCATCTGTATATGCACAACATGGTATACATGCCCACACACTGGTGTATACACACACACACACACACACACACACACACACTAAATAAATAAATAGATGGATAAATTAAAATATAGTAAAAGATGTTTAAATGAATTAATGTTTTAGAAACAGATTTCTCACATGATCCTCAGGAAGAGTTGAAAATTTCAAGGCCTTACAGTAATTTTCCAATGTGATCTAGGCAATGAATGACATAGGAAAGAACTGATGCTCACTGTTCTCTTACCCATTTTCTAAGCAAGAACAAATGCTTATCTGGTATGAAAGTTACTGGATTATGGAGCATTAAATAATCTCCCAATAGTCTTCCAAATTCTGGCTGTTGATGGCTTAAAAAAAACCTGCACCATTAACTGAGATGCAAATAGGGACTTTAACTCAAACAGCATTCATAATTTTATTAATGCATTCTATAAAAAAGCTAAATCAACATAACAATTATAGTAATAGTTAACTTTTTGGAGTCTTTACTGTGTGTTAGGATCCATGCTTAACATTTTACATGGAATACCTCTACTTCTCTTAATCTTGGTAATAATCTTATATTCTGTGTACATGATCAACCCTCATTTGTAGGTGATGCCACTGAGACCCATGGAGGTAAAGAAACATGGATGAGGTCAATTAATGAAGACCTTGATTCAGGATTTGAACTTGAGAAGGGAGACTATAAATCTCTTGACTGTGGTGCTTTTTACTGCTTCCCTGTTACCTATCAAACTCAGTGATATCTTATGCAAAGTATTGAATGTGTGCTTTGTATTGCATGATTTTTTGGGCAAGGTGATGTCTATGAAAGGGCAGGCCCCACATGAATCTAGTGGGGTTTCATGGCTTTGTTGTTAGATGTACGTTTATGTAGTATGCATGCAGTGACTGTGATGGCCTGGAGATGTATAATACAGATAGTTGTGAGCTGCCGTGTGGGTAGTTGGGAATTGAACCCTGTTCCTTTCGAAGAGCGTTCAGGGCTCTTAACCACTGAGCCATCTCTCTAGTCCAAACATCTAGCTTTCAGTGAGGGTATGCTTGTGTGGGTGTGATGTTTTGTTTACAAAGACATAGTCACAGACATTTTGACCTGGATGCTTTCCGCTTATCTGGAACTACAGTATGAAGTCGATTGATCCAAATTTAACAGAGAAACCAGTTTTCTAGTCTTGGTTTTCCATCCTTGTTTGTGTAGTAAAGGGCAGAATGGGAGGAGGAAGTAGAAGGAGGGTTAGAAAGAAGACCTAATAGACTTATTGCAAAATTTATTTGAAGGGCAAAATATGCTTTGTTCTGGCCACCTTGCAATGTTGATTTTGCTGGGTCTTGGCTTGGGAAACATCTGAGCTCTCACTAAGGTGTTCTGCTCAACTTCCAGGTATATGGGGAGAGATTAATGGTGCAAATAGAGCAAGAATTTAGCTTCTCCTTCCTGTCTTGTTGTTACAGAAGAGCTGCATATATAGATTTATATTGCATATTTAAAGACAGAGCTAGGTATCTCATTGTTTTTTTTTTCTGGTTCTCTATCCTCAAGGCATGCTGTGTCCATGAGCAACACAGTTATTTTATTTATTGAAGACGATGTCACATCCTTGGCAGTGGCGTGATTAAAAGTGTGGGCAAATTAAAGGTTGCAGAGTTCATACTATTTCAGTACTTGTGCATAAGGAAGGGATCATCTCTTTACTTAATAGTGTCATGTTTGTCCTTAGCATGACGATGGACATAAGGTCTTTAAGAAAGGAAATATAAGCTGGGGAGAACTCTGTACAGTCTTTTTGTTTGTTTCCTGACCTGATTGGCTTTCCTGTTAAACAGAAACCAAAGAGAGCTGCTGTGGAAGTAGGAGAACACAGTCAGTGTCCAGTTCATATTCTGAAGTGTTTGGGGTTTTGCGAAAGATATGGAAGAGCTTGAACAAAGTTAAGGGGAAGGGTTTGGCCAAGTAAGGTTTTCTCCAGTGAAAATCAGGGTGTCAGAAGAAAGGCAGTCTCAGTCAGCATGAAGAATCTAAGTAGTTCTGGAAGAGGAGCCCTGTGGCACTTTCTCTCCAGGGGCTCCTGTTTGAAAGCCTACAGTTTTTCTAGTATTTATTTCAGTTGAAAAACAGACAATTGTTTTGTTCAGAATAGGACAATAGAAGCATAGTGGCTATTTCCCATAGTTGTATTCACAGTCTAACTTTGATTCCAATTAAAAGTTGTTTCTCTGCTTTGAAATGAGGAGAGACACCCTAAAGTAATTACCTTGCAGATTGGAGGCAGTTTTGCTTTTGATCATGATTATACTTTGGACCAAAACAAGATGGAAAAACAAATTTCTCTGTTTGTTCGCTCTATATCTGCTCAGTTTATTTTTGGCAACATTGCAAGGAAATAATGTTAAATTAATCACTGTGTGGTTTTGTGGATGTTTTTAAACTTGAAAATTTTGGAAAAGCTCCCAAAATACAACGACACTCATGTGTTTCTTCTGCATTGCTGTGCTTCTCACAGAGCCTCTGGTGTGGATTAAAGGGTTTCTTTTTCTTCTTCCTTTAAAGTGATATGAATGAGTCATGGCTAGGCCAGGATGTGGTTCATATACAACCTTACCTAAACACAAACTCTTAAACTTTACAATAGCATTGGTTGGTCTGGGAGGGATTTTTAGAGAGATTCAAAGCAGAAATTATAAATGAAGATGATCTCCATTCTGTATCTGTGGGATGTTTGTTTCTATCTCCAATTGGAATGGAGTACAATCCTTTTGCTGAGAAAGCAAACTGAGGTATACTCTGCTGTTTTGAGCTGGGTAGGATGTTCAGCTTTCCTACTCTTGCAAGCGTGATTGGCTGTTGATGAGATTGTAAGCTCCGTGAGAGCAGGAACTGTTTTGCATATCTCTGTATGACTCATTATGTCTAGCACAAAGCTGGAAAATATCTGGAATGGTCAATATTCAATAAATATTGAATGACTTGGCTGAAGTTTTGTTTTTCTTATGCCCACCTGAGGCTGAGGCAGTAGGATCAGGAATATGATATTCAGTGGTCTGTTTAGGACCCCAGATCTAACTTACAAAGTCTGCTTTCCTTTCTGGTTGTAAGGAAGTTAAACTCATAAACCTGTCCTGCTACACACACCAACTGAATGTTGTTCCTTAAGGTAACAATGTTTGTAATTACTTACCACCACCTAGGGTTCCAATATGCATGGATTTCCAAGTCTGTGAGACTTGAACACAGCAGCTCTTTCCAGGGTCACATAGCAGCCCTTCTGTCTCTTAGAGACTGGAATTCTGCACACCTGCTGGTCAGTGGGGGCTTTGCTTTCTGCCTTAGGGAAAATAGAATCTGCCACTCCTTTAAAAGCCAGGCAACACAAGACAAACAAGACTTTCCTTTGGAAGGAGTAGTTTGGCTAACTGCTGGCTCTTGGTGGCAACTTAGAAACGACATTTTTGTTTCTCCCTCCCTACCCTTCCTGAACATTTCAGAGTGACCAGTGGTTGGACTCTTGCCGGCGCTTACCCTGAACCTGAGTGTTAGGGGAGAGGGAATCTGCTGCTGCGGTTTCTGGAGCTGCTCATAAGCAAGAGTTCCCTATCCTGATCAAGGCTTTAAGCCTAAAAGAAAGCAGAAATAGGTATGAACCATTGGTGTGCATATATGTGCGTGCACGTGTGTGTGTGTGTGCGCGTGCGCGGTGTGTTTACGTGCTTGTGTGTGCACACGTGTGCGTGCGTGCGTGCATACCTGCGTGCACTTAATTTCGAGCACGGGGGGCCTGCATTTGTATGTGCTTACCCACAGGAACACATGCCTGAGTGCCTATGTGTGCGTGCTGGATGGACGGGTGTGGCATGGGAGGGGGTGGCATACCTTTGAAGGTATGGGGTCTGGGACAGCTCACTGTCTACATTCTCCTGCCTTGTGGGAGAAGGTTGGAAGTGATATTTGTTTTTAACTACAAACATTCTTGTTTCCACCTTTTTTTTTTTTTTTTTTTTTTTTTTTTTTTTGCTAGAAGAATTTGGCAGTCATCTGTCCAATTTCAGGCAACAGAAGAGATTTTTATATTTGAGTCTTGAGTCCAAATCTAGGAACCACAAAGTGCCACTTGAGTGGAGAGAAATGTGATTACAGGCTAAATTATAAATTAGTTAGTCTTTTGGTGGTTAGCTTACACTTTCCCCCCAAAATATGGATGAGATATAAAAAAGGAGCTTCTTGAGCTGGGTATCTAGCTCAGAGGTAGAGTGCTTGCCTAGTATGCCTATGAGCCTGAGTTCCATTTCCATTACAAAACAAATTCATCAATAAGATCATTACTTATCTGGATAAAAAATAAAATAAAATTTGCCTTTGGAAGGGCAACTGTTGGGTCAGATTATTCCATAGAATAGTTGCAAGGCCAGTAGGGATAACCATTAACAAATAAAAGCCAGAGGCCAAGCATGTCCATCTGCTGTACACATTCTGAATGCCCTGCAACACTAAGGAAAGGGATTTCCAGAGAGCTTGCAGGTGATCTAATATCATAAAGACCTGGCAGGTAGAGTGTAGACTTTTCATTTGGGACTCAACACTCAGTAGTTGACCCTTGCAGTGACTTTGTGTGTGACATGTATGTTCACGCCGAGTTACTTCAGATCGTTACAGTGAAAAATTCATTGTTTAGCATTGCGGTTCACTTGTAGTATTTAACATGACAGGATTCTTTAAAAAAAAGGCATTGAGTGATAAATTGATAGGCGCGATAGAGTGTCACGAGAGAAGGTGGTGTTTATGATTTGCCGTTCAATTTTTTCAGATGAGAAATCAGAAGTCGCAAAGAGTAATGGGTTAGGCTAGCCTGTAGACTATAGTATGGTTCTGACATGAAGCTTCATTTATACTGCTGCTATTTTACAAGATCCATATTAGTTCTTTGGAAGATTTGATGGAGGTAGTCAGGGACATGGTCACCATACTTGTTTGGGAAGGATGGACTTGGATTTTTCAGTTTCAAAATGTTGTCAGAGAAAGAATTCCAGTCAAAGAGGTACTTCCCCTTATCTGCTTGTCCTACCCAACAATGGCAATCTATCTTAGAGTTTATCCTTGGATGGCCTAAAGAGAAATGTGTCAGTAATATTTGTTCAAAGCCATTTTCTTATTAGATCATGGAGCATCCAAAATGGACTTAAATTTTTTTAAAGGTTATGCTTCACAGTTTATCAGCAATTTTAGAAAAAAAAGTAACATAGAGGCAAGGTTCATTTATAACTGGCGCCAGCTAAGCTAAGCCCTCCTTGCCCATTATTTGTTTAAGTTTTATTTTGTATTTTATTTCTCCTATCACATGCTGAACTGCTTCATAAATCCTATTTAAGGGGTGACTTGGCCCATGTCTTTGTTTCTACCTTCATAGCACAAGACTTGTATTTTTTGTTTAAATAGAGTACAGAGAGATGAACCTTATAAGGTTCTTAGAAATTGCCCCCATTGATCACCCTACTTGACTGCCTCTTGTTTGCACACTCCTTCTAGAAATTAAATCAGGATTAGTTAGATCATGGTAATGGAGGAAACAACTGTTTTTGACCTAAATGTTCCTCAACATGCCAGTGCTAAAGACAATAAGCATGGAATTAATCCATGATTTATGAATGCAAGCCTCTGTTTTGTTTCTGTAATGGATTCCTCTCCTTCAAACACACATTTTCTTCCCCTTTAGAGGACTGATTTGTGCATCAGCTGGATGTTAAGCTTCCTGTTTCCCCTTCCCAGGTCAAGGGCAGCCCAAGTGCCCAATTTCTCTCTCTCTTCACAAAGCACCGCCAGCTATAGAGATGAGAAATTCTGAAGAGCAGCCAAGTGGAGGAACTACGGTATTGCAACGTCTGCTTCAAGAGCAGCTTCGCTATGGCAATCCCAGTGAGAATCGTAACCTGCTTGCCATACACCAGCAAGCCACAGGGAATGGCCCTCCATTCTCCACTGGTAGTGGGAACCCAGGCCCTCAGAGTGATGTGTTGAGCCCCCAGGATCACCACCAGCAGCTCGTGGCACACCCAGCTCGACAAGAACCCCAGGGCCAGGAAATCCAATCAGAAAACGCCATCATGGAGAAGCAGCTGTCCCCTCGAATGCAGAATAATGAAGAACTCCCAACCTATGAAGAAGCCAAGGTCCAGTCTCAATACTTCAGGGGCCAACAGCATGCTAGTGTTGGGGCTGCCTTCTATGTCACAGGAGTCACTAACCAGAAGATGAGAACCGAGGGACGCCCATCAGTTCAGCGACTCACTCCTGGCAAGATGCACCAAGATGAAGGACTTAGAGATCTTAAGCAAGGGCATGTCCGATCCCTGAGTGAAAGGCTAATGCAGATGTCACTGGCTACCAGTGGAGTTAAAGCCCACCCACCTGTTACCAGTGCTCCTCTCTCCCCGCCACAACCCAGTGACCTCTACAAGAATCCCACCAGTTCCAGTGAATTCTACAAGGCTCAAGGGCCATCTCCCGGCCAACATAGTCTGAAGGGCATGGAACACCGAGGCCCCCCACCAGAATATCCTTTCAAGGGCATGCCATCCCAGTCTGTAGTATGCAAGTCCCAAGAGCCAGGGGGCCACTTCTATAGTGAGCATCGCCTGAACCAGCCAGGGAGAACAGAGGGGCAACTGATGAGATATCAGCACCCCCCTGAGTATGGGGCAGCCAGGTAAGAGTTCCCTTTCTGTCATTTCCTGGCCTCATCCCCAACCAGCCTCTCTTGCTGCCTGTTGGGAAAGGGAAGGAATGGGAAGGTGTGTGATATACCAAAGTGCCCAGTGGCTGAAGAGAAGAGCAGTGCTTTATTTTTGTGTTGACTTACTCTCTTGCCTCTTAGGGTTCTGGAAGGAGGGTCACTGTTTCTAATCTTCTGAGTTCTTAAGGGCTTCCTAAAGAAGCACTAGCAAATTGTCTTGGACATTAATTAGTAGGTCTGTAACACTGTATCACTTCCACCACGCACACATCAATTCTTTTGTGTGTGGACCAATTTATCTGTTTCCTGTAAGAATTACTGTGCTGCTTTTCAATACTAAACAGCCAGGGAGATACGATTTTTGGTGGAAGAATTATGTATGGGTACGGGTTCCTAATGTTCTTTGCATTAAACTTCAGGTCCTGTTTTAGCAAATGTCTGAGCTGCTTCTTGGTTCTTCTGGAGAGAGTTTGTTAGGCCTTTCATTGTTGTAAGCATCTAGGTTAAGGTCATGCTATCACTGTAGAAGTTCTACCAGATGCTAAAATGCATGTGGAAAACTACTCCCACCACTTCTGTGTTGTATCTTCCATTCTTCCTAAGTATATTTCTTAATCATTCAGCACCCACTGTCATTTCTGTTATCTACCTGATCCTATGGTTTATTATTAGTATTTGTACTATTACCGTTTGGAAGCATTTCAGGGCATGGCTCAGGGGAAGGGTTGAACTATGACCGCAATGGCAACAATTAGTGTGGCATCCTGGCCTCTTCCCAGGGGTAGGTAATGATGGATGTTCATAAGGTTTGAAGCCCTGGGTGGCTTACAGTCCAACACTGTGATCTCATTGGTATCTTCGTCTTTGCCTCTTGTCTATTCATTCATTTGGGAAAGAACCTCCTGGCTTGAAGTTGGTGACTCAGGAGGTAAGGCACTTGGGGTGGAGTAGGGCGGAGGTAAGAGAAGTTACCTGCCATTTCCTGGTATTTCTTTTTCTTCCCCCCTCCAGGTCCTGATTTTTTTTTTTTTTTATCCAGAGGCAATTCATTTTAAGCTCCTCTCCTTGCTTTACTGGTTTAGGATTTTTTTCCTCCTTAACCCAGGGTGATTTCTTAACCCTTTGCAAGTTCCTCTGAAGTTTTCAGAAGACAGAAGCCTAACTTTTTTTGATAAACATCTCAGAGAAGGAAATGGGATAAGAACAGGGCCATTCAGCTTTCAGAAGCTACAAGAACCCAGTTGCCATCTGCCCAGTGAAATGGAAGAACCAGGGAAGGTCTGCACCCTTGGACTGAAAAGCTTAGTGGAAATCTATTGAAGCTAGAAAAATGTCAAGGAAGCCTAGGGCTTTTGTTTTGTTTTTCCCATCAGTATGGAAGCATGGGATGCACTGGCTCCCTTCTGGACTGTGGATGGGCTCATGTCTGATCGGTTGCCTCTTGCAAGAGTGTGTTGGCTAGGGTGTGGATATGAAGCCAAAGCCCAGCTCAGCACATGGCCAGCCTTCCCAGGAAAACTATTCTCAGAATTCATTCAGCAGTATTGTTTGTGATCTGAAGTGACTCCCACAGTGTTTGAAGCTAGATGGAAAAGCTCTTTGATCTGCCTAAATAAATAATGAGACAAAGAGAGGTTTTTCCTTCCCATACTGAGTAAACAACCAGAGAAATTAAGCTGCATACATTTTATAGGAAGATATGTTATCTTTTCTCCTTCCTTCTAAATTATCTATGGATCTCGCTCTATTTATGTCCCTTGAAACAACAAAGCCCATGCTGACCTGCTTTTGTTTTTTTGTTTGTTTGTTTTTTGTTTTTGGCCTGCTGGGCATCTAATCCAGGGCCTCCAGTATGCTAAGCAAGCGCCCTTCCACTGTGCTCCACCCCCAGCCCTTGAGCAGTGTTTTAACACACAGGTATGCTCTAACAGTTGCTTCTCTATGGGACAGGAACAGTGTGATTGAGATGCTGGATGAATAATAGAACTGGCAAAGCTAGAGGTGTTCCTTGTGAAGTTTGGGTATACATCAGACAAACTCTGGCCCAGCATTTTGCATGCCCTGTGTAGGGGAGTGGCACCTATTGACAGATCCTTGGCAAAAAGAGGCAGTCCAACAGCTTTCCAGAAGTCTACTGCTTTTAACTGCTGACACATTTTCCTCCTTCATTTCCTGTATGGCCTGTGACTATCTGCCCAAGTAGCTGCTGCTCGCAGAAAAATCAAAAATAAAGAAAGACAGATAGAAAGAAAATAATATATATTGAAAGCCCACCCTTAATTCTGAACCCACAAATGACAGATCAGGACAAAAAGTAAGTTTTTTGAGAAAACTGCTGTTAAAAAGAAAACACCACCTTAAGTAAGTTTTTGAGAAAACTGCTGTTAAAAAGAAAACACCACCTTATTTGCCGTCAGAGATTCAGTGAAATGCAGGAGATTGGCTGTTAAAATGAACAAAATGTTATAAACAGTCCATTGATTACTTCATCATCCCCATGCCCGCCTCCCTACTTAAACAAACAAACAAACAAACAAACAAATAAATAAATAGCTTGAATGCTAAGATCTCCAGATGGTGAAATAAGGCCAAACCATTTGAAGAATTTTTAAATTTCTAAATCTTTGTGTTTCTGAGTCCTGAACCTTTTGCATCCTGGGTTTGTACACTGATCAAATGCTTTAAAAAAAAATTAAATCATTTCTGTTTATATAGCTGCCACCCCCTTTCAGTTGTTGAAATCATGCCCAGATCTGAGGTTTCTTGAAATGCTTGTTGAACAGAATCTCAGGGTGACCTAAATCAGAACAGAGCTACTTGTGCAATTTGAACGGTCCGGAATTATTCACAAGCTGCTCTGTGACATTCACTGTCACAAAGCCTGGGAGAAACACCATTTTAGTGGTGAGAAACTGGCTATAGGCTGTTAGGCTGTTGGTGGCACCTGCTCCGGTGTGTGTGTATGTGGGGGGTGCTTGTACTCACGTGGGTGGGTGTACATGTGAAAGTGACTGAAGAGCATGGGAACCCTAGTCATGGAGGTATCGGGGTGGAAAGATCTGTGTGAGCTGTGTGTGTGTGTGTGTGTGTGTGTGTGTGTGTGTGTGTGTGTGTGTGGTTTTTACTTTCCCTTTTTGTCTTCACAAGCTCTTTGAACTTGTATCCTCTCTCTCAATGCAGCTTTGGAGAGGAGCCTAATTTTGGTGAGTGGTCTCCTGCATAGACAGCCAGGTCCCCTTCTTCTGCAGAGCACTAGTAGCCCCGTGAGTCTTAGGGAGGAGCAGGGTATTGGGGAGAAGGGGCAGAGAGGCCGATCAGATTGTCCATGGGATCATGTGATCCTATTGTCTCCTGGTGGCTTGTTGTTCCTAGTTAGTTATGTCAGTGAGGAGTGTTTCCAGCTGCTGTAGGGTGGAAGGACCTGGAAGGACTGCTTTCGTGTCTGCCACTTTATTGCTATCATTACTCTTTCTTTTATTATTTAATCTTCAGTGTGTTTTTGTTTCTCTGACATAAGCCAGAGTTCTCCTCAACCTGTGTCTTCTTCCCTGAGCCCTCTGTTCTCAGATGGAACCTTATTCCAGTGTTAATGTCGCTGTGCCTTTTGATGGTGGGCAGATGTTGAAGTTTCTTTGCCCAGAGGGGTTTCCCTACTTTTTCTACTACCCAAGCCATTACTTCTTTGCAAATCTGCAAATGAAGGTCTGCCTTGGTTTTTTTCCAAGACTGTGCTTCCTTTTGTAGCCTGGGGAGTCAAGGGGTAGCTGCTTTGTTTTTGCTTATCTTCATCCTGGGCTTATCTGACCCTAGAGACCCTCCGGAAAGCTTGCAGTATCCTCCCCTAGACCCCTGAGAAGCTGTGCACTGTCCTGAGCCTTGACAGGCCATTCACCCTTCAGAGAAGAGGGAGGCAGATGCCAAGTCTGTTTGAGAAAAAAACCCCTTTTGCTTGGTAAGCTCCCAGTGGAGCTGTCAAGAGGAAGCCCAGTTTGGAACTATGTGTTCAGTATTTTAGAGAGAATACCTCCCAGGCAATGGGCTTTCCAATCCTGAGAGCAAGGGCAAAATATAGTGTTGTGGTCTTTTTCCTTAAGTTTTGAAAGTAAGATTGCAGAACATGAAACTTAAGATCCTTTTTATCTCCAAGAGATTCCAAGGGTCCTTCCTTCCAAACCACAGGGCATTCTCACCCTGTATTACACATTAATTAAACAGCTCTTGGAAAGAGAGCACATAGATACTCTACCTGCCTAGAAAGTGAAGGTCTACAGAAGGGAAAATGGAACCCTTTCACCAAACAAGTTTATAAACTGCTTCAGGCTTTTAAACTACTGAGTGTTTTGAGCTCTTGGAAACAAAGGTTATATATGACATCAACTTTCCAGTTGTAGCCTTGAATAGTATGTCATTTTTTTATGCCTAAGTAATTTACATAATTTGTTCAATATTTAACAATTAATTTGCAGTGATATGTGTATAAAGTTAGCAGAATGTCTGTGTACTAGAGGCATTTGGGACAGTCCCCAGGGTATAAACAGGTTTGAATACTTTTGTGAGTATCAAGGTCATTGGATGTGTCCATGAGCAAATGTTTGGGATGATTTGGTATCCTATACAGGGAGGAGCTCTTAGGGATGCTGGTAGCTGGAGTATGTGAAAGAGAAATGTGTTATTTTTTAAACTGTGTGGATTGCTAGTGAAAAATTAATTGCTTCTGGTTATTTGTCCAACTTCAACCAATAATTTTATGGAAATTAGCACAGAGATTAACAGTGTATTCCATTGGGAAGATATACTAACAAGGTCAACATTGCACTGGTAGATAAGAAGCTATATTTCTTACTAAGTCAAAACATGTGCAGCCCTGGCTGTCTTGGAACTATGTAGACCAGGCTTCTCTTGAACTCACAGAAATCTGCTTGCCTCTGTTTTGTGAGTGCTGGGACTGAAGGTGTGTGCCAGTAAGAGAAAATTTTTAAAAAGGACTTATTTTATATTTATGGGTGATTTGCTTGCATATATGTCTGTCTGTGCCTGATGCCCACCAGAAGACAGACTCAGATCTCCTGGAATATGCCGCTGTGTAGGTTCTGAGGATCAAACCTGGGTCCTCTGAAAGAGCACCCAATGCTCTTAACCACCAACTTCTATACTAAGTAAATTAAATAAGGTTGTATGTACAGAACTAGTAAGTAGTAACAAAAGTCAATGAAGTCCCTTTGTTGGGATCTGAATCATTTTTCTTAGCCATCTTTCTTGCCTGAATTGAGAACTTCAGGAACATTCAAAGTTTAGCCTGGGCCAGGAGATGATAAATACTCTTTTTGCCTTCAGTATACACAGACATACATGCTTCCTGTTGGTTGTGATGGTGGAAAATGACACATCCATACACTTTTATTGTTTTAGTTAATAGTTATGCCCAAATCATTTGTATTTAGGCATTAATATTTTGTGTCTAGTAACTACGTAATAAAAATCAGAAAGCCATATTAAACAATGTACCAAAGCTTTCATTCTGAAACAAGAAAACAAAGTTTTCTTTCTGTAAGCAAGAGGTTGGGGATTTGTACAGCACTACTTAGAAGTCAGTGGAGCCAGAAGGTGGGAGTGGGATACTACCTCTAACATCATAGTTTATCTCCCCAAATCTCCCTGCTTCTCTTTCTCTCTCTTTCTGTTGGTTTCATTCAGGATGGGACTCAGGACCTTATGTACTCCAAGCTTGAGTTTCAGCTCTGCACTGCATCCCAAGTCCTCAGCGCACCTCTTCCCTTCTCTGGGTTTTAGTTTCACCCTGTCCAAGAAAAGATGATTCCTCTCAAGCCTTTCTAATTCCTAAATTTTGTGATTCAGTATATTATAAATAGTACAATAGTGCTGCCTGTATCCTCTCCAAGCCCCCATATTGCTTCTTAATGTGTATTAAATTGGTAACTGGAATGAGCAGTAATTATTTGGTGTTTTAGATTTAATGAATGTCTTTGTATCTGAGTAATTCCTGAGTGTTTGAATTCTCAAAGGTAGTCACAGATAGTAAGATGAAAGGCAACGGAGAGACTGTTTTCAGTAACCAAGCAAACAGATTTTCTAAACTGAAGTCTTTGCATACGTAGAGTTTTTTTCAGACAGGTTCAGTTTTCAGTCAGGCCATGAGCATTACTTTGTACAAGAGGAATTTTAAATGACTGAGCAATGGAGGTGGAGATAGCCATCTTAAGGTTTTCATACTTACCTCAGAGGTTATCTGGTTTCATCTGCAAGGGGATCATAGCTAGCGAGCAGTAGCTGCTGGACAGAGTCTCAAAATGTCTCGGTAAGAGTGAACGCTGGAGTTCTTTCTTGGGGATCTAACTCTGCTTACTTCTCATTTCTCTGAATTTGGGGGATATCTCCTTGTGTCATTTCATGTGTCTTGGGAGTGAACTTAATCAGAGCTTGCCTTCTGTGTTTTTCAGGGCAACACAGGACATCTCGCTGTCTTTGTCAGCAAGGAATTCTCAGCCTCACAGCCCGACATCTTCCTCGACATCTGGCAGTTCCTTACTGCAGTCTCCACCATCTACCAGATTGTCTCCTGCTCAACACGCCTTGGTCGCAAACCAAGGTGACCATTCTACTCACCTCCCAAGGCAGCAGCAGCATTTTCATCCTAATCAGAGTCACCAGGGAGACCACTACCGTCTCTCCCAGCCCACCTTGCCTCCTCCAACACCACAGCAGCCAGGAGAAGCCTACTCAGCTATGCCTCGGGCTCAGCAGTCTGCTTCTTATCAGCCCATGCCAGCTGATCCTTTTGCCATCGTCTCTAGAGCCCAGCAGATGGTTGAGATCCTCTCTGATGAGAATCGCAACTTGCGGCAGGAGTTGGATGCATGCTATGAGAAGGTGGCAAGACTGCAGAAGGTATGGCTCCCGTTAAGGGTCAATAGAGACTTCTTTGAATCGTACTAGTGAGACTTGTTAAATACCCATAAAAATGTTTCATCTGTGTATGCTTATCATCTCTTATGGGTAGATCTTTGAGATTCTTCTTTTGATGTTAGGGAAAAAAAATCTTTATCTGTCTAGGATAACTGCCTTTTTTTTCTCTTTTTATTATCATTCATGCATTAATGATACAAAATAATGGATTTCATGATGAAATTTTCACACCTACATATCATGTACTTTTATCATATTCATACTCACTACTGTCTTTTGTTCCCCCCCCCTTGTCTTTAAGAAAATTTATACTAAAAGAAAAATACTATAGATGTCCCAGACTTGATAATCCTTAAGAAATCTTAGTTCATTGTCCTAGTCAAAAGATCAGCAGATATGTTTCTTCATAAAGAATATTAGTAAGGTTTGTGCTCATGGAAAGCCTGCCAGCATTTAAAGGCTTTTAGTCATGATTATGTTTCCTCCATATGATCAAAACTATAAAGCTATAGTTCATGGTCTCTAGAAAAGAGTCTCACCAGTTGAGACTTTGTATGGTCCAGGAAAAGGCTGACAGTGCTCTTCCTTGTTGTAGTTGTCTTGTTAATTCTTCTTTGACACTAGGCCTCCTCCCTGCAAACGTTTGCTTTGGTCTTTCTCCACAGATGCACTTCAACATCTGCTCTTTTTTTCTGGTGTGTGTGTGTGTGTGTGTGTGTCCCCGTCTGTCCGGGATGCACAAAAGGGGCTTAGCACCACAGCTGGGTGACAGGTGACAGCCCTCGGCAGGGGAAATAGAAAAAGAAGTGAGGAGTGTGTGTGTGTCCCAAATTCCCATTCCTCTTTAGTCCCCTCATCCCCATTGTCTGCTGTAGCTGGGACTTTAGCTTTTGAGGGCCCCAAGACCCAAATCTCAGTTCTTGCCGCAGTGGCTATTAGTAAATAGAGTTTGCCTTTGGCAGCTTCTTTTTATCTTTAGACCATGCAGAGTTCATATGGCACGATCTCCTTGCAAACTGTTAAGGAAGTTTGAGACTGAACGTGGGGAAGAAAGGACAGTTGCCTTATGCTGTCCCTAGGAGACAAGAGAGGAAATCTCAGGGACCTGCATGAAGCCGAGAATTTGCCAACACCAGATTTTTTTACCTACAGGAGAAGAGGGCTTATTTTCCAAAGTTAAGTAGTTTTTATATAGTGAAAAAGATGCCCCCTTTCTCAACCCAGTTGAGGGCTATCAGGGTAGATTGAGAGCTATTACTTCGTCTTGATTTTATATTTTCTATCTTGTCAGTTTGATAATACCCCTCTTTTGCCTCGTGATAATGTTGTACGTGAATTTTGTCTATTGACTAGAAACCTTGTTTGGCTGATCAGACCTCCCCTAACTTTTAATTTGGGTTGGCCTGGCTTCGTCTTTGACATAATCACTGGTTCCTGAGTTCAGATCTTTGACAGGGATCCCTGGTGACACTAGGAGCTGGATTGGGTGACTAGTGCAGGGAGCAAAAGTCAGAAGTTTGTTTATTGTTCGGTCCTTGTGCAGATATATATCAGAAAATGGCAATCTTCATAGCTTGAGCATCTGCCAAAGCACAGTTCAAGCCATTACTGGGGTAGAGAAAAGGTAACAGGAGGGGAGAAAGAGTAAATGAATGTAGGCGCACACCAGATAGATGGTAGAGCCAGAAAGAAGGAAGGAAAAAAGGAAGATAAGAAGAGAGGAGGGAAAGGGGAAGGAAGGAGATAAAAAGCAAGAAAGAGAGAGGAAGGAGAGATGAAAGGAAGGAAAGAAGGAAGAAGGAAGGGCGAGCAAGCGCTGGAGGCTCCTAGAACAGAAAGTAGAACAAGCAAGTCCTAACAGCCACCGCCACTCTCCCTCACACCAAGACAGTGAATCTGCCTTTCTTGGCCTTTCTGAGAAGGCATTGTTTGCAAGCAGACAGTATCTCCATAAGGGAGAAGGGAAGGATTAGCACCAGATCCTTCACAAGCAGGTTGTATACTTGGAGAAAAGGGACTGTCGCCTGGGTGAGGTTTCTGGGCTGTAAGTAGGAAGCCTCACTAGCTTTCCCTTGGCTGCCTTTTGCAGACCAATACCAAGCTTTCTCTTTCAAATGGAAATGTTTATTTTCTCCTTTCCAGCACTTGACTTTCATGCAAAAGCCTCATCAGGCAGGCGCAAGCCCTGCAGATCTTGTCTCTAAATGCCATTCACTAGTTTTCACCTTCTGTGCTGCTATCTGGGTGCCATCTGCAAGGAGAAAAACACTCTCAGGTCTGCTCTTTTCAGTGCTGTAAGCCTCATTTGTTTGCAGGCAGTCCTGTCTCCAGCAGGATTTTGAAGATGGGGGCAGCTGGAATCAGTGTTGATTGTAAGAGCACCGTGTCTCCTCCCCCATCCTCCATTGGGGCTCTTGTTTACTTCACCCCCTAACACACCCTGAGCTTTGTTCAGGAAGAGTGGAAAACTGAGAAGAAATGCAGGGTGGTTACAGGAGGAAGACTTAATTTGAAAATTGCTTAATAGGCCATGGGGTTTATTTGTCTTATACAAATTATATACAAATAAGCGCTGGGGTCATTACACGTGCACTGGAGCTGTACTGGTCGCAGAAAACCTCTGGAGTCTAATTTCTTGTTTTCTTCCTGATCCTGGCTAATTCTGGACAAGAACCTTTGGCTTTCTTATTTTATCAGATTTGCAGAGACTTGTCACAAAACAACACAAATCATGAATTTCAGTTAAAAATCAGCACTAGTTTCCCACTGACTACAGTGACTATGGGATAAAGTCCAAATGCCTGGCATTTAAAGCCATTTTATGACCTGACTTCAGTTATCTTCACAGCCATATCCCTCTAGCTTCCCTGTGGCTACCACACAGTGGCCAGCCAAATTAGACTCCTGGTCATTCTGGGAATGCATTTGCTTACTCAGAATAGAATACCCTTCCCCTCACCTCTGCCCATTGAAATCTAAACAAGCTTTCAGGACCCAACTTTAAATGCCCTCTCTCCCTGAAATTATTTTCCTCCCCTCCCCCAACCGGGGAGAGCTTCTTTTTGCTCCTTGTTCCCTTAGAGCTGTGCCTTGCTCTTAATTCTCTGGACTTGTTTATATTGAAGTCAAGGATAACATGGATGTTCTCATTCAGGTTTGCACACAGCACAGTTTGATCATGCCTTCTTAACTATCTGGCTCTTGATTGGATAGTTGTGAAAGTGAATTGAATTATACTGCACAAGGATGGCCATTTGGGTATTTGGGTGCTGTTTGTGTTGCTGATTTGTACTCGGAAAAGGCAATTTAACTACTCTCTTTGCTAACATGGGGCAAGTTACATCACCTAGGCACATGTCAGGGCAAAATGAGAGAACCACACAGAATTCTTTTGTGGGCTTCAAAATAAAGTTATTGCTATACAATAGACCATGTTGTTAACATTTTTGAAATTAGAAAACTGAGAAATAAAATCGTGTGGTATCTATTTTATCTTACTGCCTTCTATGAAGGTAGAAATTACACTACTCAATCCCAACTCCACCCCAATAGAAACACACACACATTCTCTCTCTCTCTCTCTCTCTCTCTCTCTCTCTCTCTCTCTCTCTCTCTCTTACTTTTCTTTTGTCTTAAGGAAATCCCATGATGTAGTTGAATCAGGTACTGAGCTCACAATTGCTCTTGGAGAATCTTTCTTGAACCCAGTTCTTAACTGTTAACACTGGCCTCCCAGCCATATGTAAGCTCTGAAAAAAGATACCACTGGAGTGTTGCACGTATGGTTCTAAACTCCTAGTGGAAACACCATCTTTCTTTTTTTATGTTAAGGTGGAGACAGAAATCCAACGGGTCTCAGAGGCATATGAAAATTTGGTGAAGTCGTCTTCCAAAAGAGAGGCTCTGGAGAAAGCCATGAGGAACAAACTGGAGGGGGAGATTCGAAGGATGCACGACTTCAACCGAGATCTGAGAGGTAAGGGGAAAGTGGATTTGACTTTGTAGGATTTTTGTTTGCTTGCTTGTAGTTTGAGACAAGGTCTCTCTACATAGTTCAAGCTGGCCTAGCACTTACTACATAGTCCATACTGGCTTTGTACTCCAGAATTCCCATACTTTACCCTCCCAAGTAGTGGGGATGAAAGCATGTGTTCCTACATCTGACTCCAGCTTTAGTAGGTCTTGTACTGTTTTGAGATTCACATTTGCAAACTCCGGTCTGTGTCACCCATCCTGTTCATCAAAAAAGATGCTGACTTTTGCCAAAGGCCAGTATTTAGAAGACAAACAGCATGTGCTTGGAACTTTGTATAGAAGATCCTGTTCATTGTCTTCAACATTCCACAGAGCGTCTAGAGACTGCCAACAAGCAGCTGGCAGAAAAAGAGTACGAGGGGTCAGAGGACACCAGGAAAACCATCTCTCAGCTCTTTGCCAAAAGTAAGTCTGGAAACTGCACATGCAGGTATGGATGTGTGGATGGGCAGTAACAGGTCTGAAAATGTCACTGGGATGGATAGAAGTAACGTTTATGAAAATGTTGCCTGCCTCTCTTCAGCCTTCTAGAACAACTAGGGGACAATGAATGCCTTTTTTTTTTTTTTCTGTTACTGCATGAAACACTACAACCTCTAGTCACATTAAAGGTCTGCTCTTTGTACTAAGTCAGAAAAGCACATTGGAATCCCTGGATTGCCTTGGCTAGCTGAAGACAAGACCTTAGGGTATATCGCCTAATAATGCTGAAGAGATTATTGTAGGTGATTCCATATATTGGCTCTAGTAGATGGGATGAGTATGCAGGGCAATGATTAATGTGTGGAATCCCCAGCCTGTACTAGGGGTTCCCTATTAAACACTTATTGCAGTGTCCTATCATCACACATGGACAGATTGTGAAGATAGCCAGAGAAGGAAGGGCCTCTGCTACGACCTGAATTCATGGTCCTGATCTCAGAGTTAGAGGGTACAGTGCTGGGCAGAGCTGTGCTTTCTTCATAATAGTGTTTCCTTTGTCTGGAAATACTCTGAGGACTGTAACAATGAATTAATCCTCTTCTTTATCGGCCTCTAATGGACTCCACCCAGCTAGACAATGCCTAATTCTTTCCAATTGCTATAATAAAAGCAGCAATAAAAACTCCGTGGTAGATTGAGTCCACTGGGAGAATAAATTGGGTTGAGAACAGATGAACTGTCCTTGTTTCTCTGCAGATGCCTAAGCTTGGCTTTGCCCTACCCCAGCTGCCCTCAATGCAACTCCCACTGCAGCCCTGCTTGTTGGGGACTTGTCAGTTTCTTCTATTTTTGCTGGGCCTCCCAATGACCCTTTCATGTCATTCTATGCAGTTTCCAGTTAGCTTTTACAAGTCTGTTTGATCTTCATTTACAATATTCCCTTCCCTGCCTGCGTTGTTCTGGCTTCTGAACAAGTTTTCTTCCCCTTTGCCCAGAGCCTCCCAGCCCATTGTTGGTAGCAAGGAATGTTGTTTTACTGTTGTCATCAGAGCCTAGGGTAAATCGTGAAGTTAGTTTTGTGGTGTCAGGGTTACCCTGGAAGCTTGTTCAGTGGCAGGAAGATGGTGGCAACCTCCCAGAGTCAAACAAAATATATGCATTCTTGCCCTGAATCTGCTAGTTTGTACTCTCCATGAAGAGATTGTATTTCAGGTGCTCTCAGAGCTCTGCTGTGGGTCTGTAAAATGTGGTTATTTACTAAAGCAAACTCCATAACCAGCATAGTGAAACACTCTCAGTGATTCTAAAACTAGGTGGGGAAGAGAGCATGCCTTTTGACCCCTTTATTTCTTTTGCCTTTGAGAATCCGAAGGGCCCTGAAAGGTGAGAACTGTAGCAGGAAGAAAAGAAAGCTCTCTTGAAAAGCATTCCCTGGGAGTGTACTTCAGCAATCCCGGACAGACAGAAGCAGTTCAACCCAGAAGGCAGCTGGGTATAGTAGAAAGGGCTTTGAATAGGTTGAGCTGAAGTATGGAATCCACCCCTCATTTTTTTTTCAGTTATGGGAGCTCTTGCAAGTTAGTCTTGCTTGCTTTCCAAGTCCTGTTTTCTCATATGCAAAATAGAGAAGTGAAGAATAATACCTCATATCCTTGTTCTGAGGATTAAGCTCGCACAATGTCTGATACCTAGTGAGCGTTCAGCACATGTTCATTTCTTTTCAAGGCACATCTAGTCAGATAGTTTTATGTCTGTCACAGTGGTATGAGGTTCGTCCTAGATAACAGAAATACCTGAAAAAATATGACGAGACATACTGTGTATGTCACGGTCCCTTGTAGCTGTGCTTTAGTATCAAATTCAGAAACAAAATTTCTCCTCTCACAGGTGAGACTTAGCCTTCATGTTTTACAAACTAATAGAAAAGAATCAGTCCCATCTTAATACAAGACATATTTTGAAGCTATATGATTCTTTCGCATCATTGGTCATGGTGATGGTGGTTGTGGTTGTACTTACTAAAGTTTTGCTGATGCTGTCACATGTTGCATTATGTTACTTCATTGGATTCTTAACAACCATGGATTAAAGAAAACAGCAATGTAACCTGTGTTTTTATGCATATAAAGTGTTTTTATCCTTTCTTAGAATGTCTTTTATGAAACTGTGAGTTTTGTCTTTTAATTGAAAATTAGTCCTGCTATTTTGATTATTGTTGAATAGCAGGAATTATGTTGTGGCAGTAGACAAGTCTTTGAATAATACCTGCCCCTTATTGTTCTCAGCATAAAAGTCCTTCCCAATAAGGTGTACAGCAAGTGAAATGGTAATCTGGCCCTAACATTAAGTTTTTGGTTTTATTGAGTCTGTGCTTTTGGACTATAAACCTTACAAATGTGGCTCAGTCCACACCCATGTCTACTGCAGTGTGGTAAGAGGGGCCTATAGTCACGTATCTCTTTTTCTGTAGCCTGGGACATGCTCAAATGGACATTATCATCCTTCCTCCAGACTGGTTATTATCCAAAATATTTCAGCAACTTGGGTTCTGGTTAAACTGTTTCTCCTCAGGGCATGCCTTGTTGAGAGGAACAAAATGCTCTGGTATATTTCACAATGCTTTCTCCCCCCTCCTGGTGCTGATGACACAAGGAGATTTCTTCTCTGATCTCCTGGGAGAACCTGGGTGAACACCTGGCTTCAAAACTTCCAAAAAATGTGGGTGTTCCAGTATGAGTGCCTCTCCTGGGAATTTAGCCCTCACATTTGTACATACTGAGCTGCTAGCAATTAATCAATTCTAGGTCAGGGTTTTCTAACCAGCTTCAGCTCTCCATGGTCTAGTCTCACAGAATGCTAATTTCATCAACTGTGACCCTCTGCCCATCTCTCTCTACTTTGAGTAGGATTTGAGGTTGCATCTGTTTTATGAAATATTTTTAGACTACTTGGTAAATTATAATAAGGAAACAGTGTGGAAAATTGTGTTCAGCTTAGTTACTATTTTGCCAGTGTAAGAGCATTTCATAAACACAAAACTCAGAGAATGAACTTACTCTGTGCTGTATGTGTATATATGCATGCATGCATGTGTGTTCGTCTTTGTGTTGTGCTTAATCCTTCTTTGTGACATTTTATGTCTACTTATCCACTACTTCTTATTTACCCAGCAAGTTAGTGGCTGATCCAGTGGTAAGATCTACATGTTGTAAAGTTTGATTCTTTTAGCCATGGGTCCATATGACTTACTAGTTTTGCTCACATAAGGCTTTGAGCGAGCCTCAGGAATACTATTGCTATTCCATGTCTTCACAGATAAAGAAAGCCAGCGAGAGAAGGAGAAGCTGGAAGCAGAGCTGGCTACTGCTCGTTCTACCAATGAAGACCAAAGGCGACACATTGAAATCAGAGACCAGGCATTGAGCAATGCCCAGGCCAAGGTGGTGAAGCTGGAAGAAGAGGTAGGTGTCCTCAGATAGCATATGAGCCTGAGAGTAGGAGATTTAGGGAACTCCTGGGCTTCTCATCCTTTTGAATATGCAGTTTATGCAACCTTCCAACAGGGAGAAGAGCCTTCTTTTGCTTCTGGTTACAACTGCTGAGACGAGTGTGTCGATTCTGATTTCATTTTCATTCTCTGCATGGTCCTTTCTTTTGCTCCATACTATGAAATCAGTACAGTCAAAGGAGATTTCTCCCGTTCATTTAATGAACAGTTTTCATACCCTATTCTCCCCACACTCAATGGGAAGCCAAGCCTGTCTCTTGTCTTAGGTTAGGCATGCATCTTTGACAATTTGCTTTGGAGATGGAAGCAGTCTTCAGAGGCCTAGGACAAAATAAGACCCAGGGAGAGTTTACACTTTATGTCAGGAGAATGCATTGGTAAAGACCTTTGTTGTGGCTTAGAGACTAGTTTCAAAGAATGTTATGATGTGCTATGGCTGAATTTGTCAGCTCTTTGAATGAGGGGATGGAGCCATCCCTTCACAAATACAGGGACCCCTGAACTATTGAAAACATGATTAAATATGTGTTTGATTAGTCTCCATGTAGAAGCTACTCTATTGCAACACTAAAGTGTGTTTCTGTGAAAAAAGAGGGAAACGTGCTGCTGTACTGTCATTAATTATTAATTAATCCTGGTTGGGTTGTGATTGTACTAGAGTAACATTAACTCTTAAATGTTTTCAACCTTTGGGAATGAGTATATTCCCACAAATATATGCTGATGAAGTATAAATTGACTAAGAAATTAAAATAATCAATGGCTGTTTCTGTCTTATGAGAGTGCTTTTCATATGCTGGGTGCAGTGGCACATGCCTGGGATCCCAGCAGTTAGGAGGCAGAGGCAGATGGATTTTGGTGAATTCAATGCTATTTTGGTCTACATACTGAGTTCTAGGACAGACAGAGAGATGCACATACTCTGTCTCAAAACTGGAAGTGAGAAGGAGGGAGACGGAGATTTGGTCATTACTTATATTTGGTGAACATGGCTTAAGGAAGGCCATGTTGAAAGACACTGAAAGACCAACCTATGTCCTGTGTAAACACACATTGTATGGCTCACGTTTGGCTTTATGGACTTTTCTTATTTCTCAGAAATTTGGAGTTTTTCCAGGGAAATGTTTTCTTGCCTGTTTTGCAAATACAGATTTATGAGAGCATTCTCAGAACAGGCCGTTTGTGAGGGGAGTATTGTCTCAGATTTTAAGTTCACAGTCACTCAGGTAATTAGTTTTCATTGCATCAAGATGGTAGGGAAAATTATGAATGTATTGATCCAAGGACCCTTGGGGTTCTTTTATACCTTCATCTCTTGAAAAACCCACATGTAGGTACATTCCTGGACATTCATTTTTCTAATCCACTTTACCTCCTGCATATATGTCTCTGCAGTCACCCTTGTAAGCATTCCACAGAAGGGCCACCTCAGGCAAGAACTGTTTTCCTAAAGCTGCAACTTTCAATCTCTTACATGCTCAATGCAGATTCCTCTGTGAATCATGCTCTCATGCCATCTACAGAGCTATGTTGTTAGGGCGGGGATGAAGAGACCTTTTTCTCTGACAAGTCACTGTGATACAGACCATAAAATCAGTCTACGGCCTGGGTAGCAGACAGCCAGATGAGGAAAATGATGCATTCCTGACCTCCTTATCCTTATATTTTGGGACACATGGGTCCTATTGAAGTTGACACTGATTAAATGTATCAAAAGAGCTTTGTGTCCTAAAGAAACTGCAATATTCTCACATTCACAGGGAGCTTCCCCATCACCTCTAGTTTAACCTCGCTGTGGCGTTTCCATAGATGTCTGGCATATCTTCTCACGAGACTCAAGGCAGCCTGGGCTTCTGGCCGGCTGCTACATTAGGAGAATACAGAGTTGAAACAGTGGCTTGGGTGGTGGGAAAAACGGACTTGGCAAAATCAGGACGGAAAGATGTTGAGGGTGAGCATAGTGAGCACAACATACAGGAATATATAAAGCAGCAGGTGAGAGGGCTGGCGGAGAGAGCCAGTGAACCATATTTGGGGCTAGAATAAACACTATAGAGATTGAGGAAGAAGGAGCTAATGCTCAGCATTAGAGTGTCTGGTGATGCTTTAGACTTGTTACACTCATCAAGATATCCAGTGTAGTTCTCAAAGTACTGTTGTCAACCCAGCCACTTCTCAAATGTACCCACACCTTGTTTGATCCCACTGCCACCATCATTCTTCAGGGATAACATTTGTCAGTCTTCCTATGTCTCTCACTACTAAATTTATTTGACTTTTTGTTTTGTTTTGTTTTGTTACAAAGGTAATTTCTGCCACATCACCTCTCTACAAAGTAATAACCAGATTTCTCTTTGCCAGCAGTAGAAGATGCTGTCTTATGTACAAACATTCATATGTTTAATACTCTCTAATAATGTTTAACCAGTTGGACTCTGTTGGTGAAGTTTAAGCTTATAAAATAGTTAGAATGTGCTATACATTTGTGTGGAAGTCTAATCTAAGCGTATGAATTATGTGTACACTTAGAGGGTAAATACGATAACGTACATATGCAACCAGGCATTTCCCAGGGTGTTCTGCTGGTGAATTGTTGATTTATTTGAAAGGCATTTCATCAAAGGAGGAAGTTTCTCATACCTGTGACAGTGCATTTTCTTTGTAGTGGGTGTTGGTTGTTTTATCCAGCATCTTAAAGAACAAATTTTGTCCATACATCAAATTGAGATGGGGCATCCTCTCATAGTTTGCTTCTTTCCCTCATTCCTTTATAACTATGGCTTTTTGAATTCCCCAGGTAGAAGCCTTGTAGGTTTCTTTATTCCCAATGCAGCAAGTTTCCAGAGGTGGTGTTTTCCTCTTTAAGTCTTTTAATATCTACCAGCGGACCGCAGACTTTTTGGCACAGGACAGAGGCAGCTTGCTAATACCAGTCTAGTGTTACCAAATTGCTTCAGTGTGAACCCTGACTTAGAGCAGGGTCACCGGGTAAAACTAAATCAGATCAAACTAAAACTACTGAAAGCTCCCTGGGCAACATAAAAACACATTGTATGAAGGAGAAGAACTGAGAAAATATATTGTAGATACGATGTTTACAAAATACCACTTGTAGGCAATAGAAGGCAAGAGATAAATCAGATATAACAAAGGCACTGAACTTTCTTCTTTATCAGCCCCATTGTCCTTGAGAAGATGGGTGACTGTATATGTCAGTGTTCACTCAGGTATCATTAATAATGTACACCCTCTACCTAAACATCTGTATTTTCAATCTTTGAAGATATTTACAGGTTATCTGTTGATGTGGCTCAGTGATAGAGCACTTGCTTGGCATGTGGGTGGCCTGGCTTTGAACCCAAATAACAAAAGAAAAAGAAAATGAATAACAACAACAACAGACATTTTCTATCCTCTAGGAACATTACAAGTGTTACTATCATGTTTCCATGCATGAGAATATTAAAGCACAGACAGAGTAGGCAGGATAGTTAGTGAGGCATCTAGGGAAAAGGCCAATACCACTAGCCCTGCTTCTTGTCTCCCTGTAGAAATACAGGAAAATGGTGGATTAAAAAACTTTCCTGTGAAGGCCCAAGACAAGTGGTCAGCTTGAGGTGCCCTAAAACTAATTTTGTATATAGCTATAATTAAAAAAAATCAGTTTGAAAGACACCCACAGTTGTTGGAAGGAGGGAAGAGATGCCATCACATGCTATTCATTTGTAGGGATCAGGTTTTCCTGAGTCAGAAGAGGTTATGGGATCTGCCAAATTCTTGGGAATGGGTTCAAATTCTTACAGGAGTGCAGTGGAAAAGATGATTGATTCAGCTCGGGAGGATTTGCCCTGTTGGTTATCAGATTACTTTCCTGTTCTGCTTTCTCCTCTTTCTTATGTTTTAATGGTTCCCTTTGTGTGTGTGTGTGAGAGAGAGAGAGAGAGACAGAGAGACAGAGAGACAGAGAGACAGAGACAGACTCATATAGTCAAGGTTGCTCTTGGATAAAATCGTCCTTTGAAAATTTGTCCTGACTGGGAATGATTTGAAACCCTTTTAGTGATTTGGCCAGGCAAATAAATAGTTAAGAAACATTGGTAGAGATCAAATATGAAGACAAAGGGAAATAATGGGTTAAAGAGGAAAGTAAGTGAAGGAAAGTGAAATATCTTTGACCAGTTTTTAGAACCAGTGTGTACTAAGAAAACTTAAATGGATGGAATGATTTCTTCTATCCACTGGATAACCAGGGGGATTTAGGTTGAAATGATTGATTTACTTGGCTTCTCTAGGAACTCATGGGTACAGAGCTTGATTAGAAACTCAGAATGACTAATCTGTGGTTTTGAAAACTCATTTTCCACATGAAGACCTGAGCCACTCTTGTGGATTGGAAACTCATCATTTCCTTGAACACTGAAGACATGAAAAAATAAATCATCTAGGATCCTATGAAAAATGCACATTTTCTGTGACCTCTCTCTCTCTCTCTCTCTCTCTCTCTCTCTCACACACACACACACACACATACATACATACACACACGGGGGGGGGGAGACGACATTTTCTTAGTTCTTTACCTCCATGGCTATGACTACATAATATTAAAGGACCCTGTTTTAGATCTTATTTTGTTTAGAACTCTTAGAAATTGCTCATTGTTAAATATGAAAAGGGAATTCCTAGCTTTATGAACTATGGGAGTTTAAAGACCTGTAGAAATCATCATAAATTGTCTGTCTAATTTAGTGAGTGTGTTTCTTTAATTTCTGAAAACAATTGACAGCATTGGAACCTGTCTGACTTGGTAATGACTTTGTCCCCTATAGAAGAAAAATAAAACAAAATACCAAGGACATTTTATAGCAGATGCTCTTCAAACCCCTTCCCATGTTAGCTCATTTGATCCTTATAGAGTATACCACACTATTATCATGTCCATGTTTTTGACTAATGAGTAATAAAGCCTCAGGGGAGACATCAAAACAGAAGTTCAGAGAGATTTAAGTGACTTCAAGTTGCATAGCTCTTAAATGAGAATGCCAGCATAGGGACTCAGGCAAATGACAACTTAGGACATTAGATTTTTACTGTCTATATGTTCTTTATATGAGAAGGAATCATCAATATTTCCAATGGCTTTGAAAGGTAAAATTGGAGGCCTACTGTTGCAATTAGTAATCTTAATATTTGAAGAGCTTAGCAGCATTGATTACTATAAAGGTAGGGAAAATAACAGAGTTCACCATGATGAAGGTAAAAGTGAAGAATAGAAAAATCTAGGGTAGTAATTAAATTGAAGCACATAGGTTGTGGTACTTATTGATGATCTACAAAATGTGGAGTAAATAACATTCACAAAGCCCTGCATGGGCAGCATTCAGCAACTGTCACTTTCCATTGTGACATGCCTAGAGGTTAAGTGCTTCCTAGGTGCTTGTGGTGTTTGTAGGTGATATATATTGTCTGAACTATATGCCAGTGTTTAACAAACTCAGAGAACATTCCATCCCACGTTTTTCTCATTCAGAGGGTTGGATAAGTGGCTCTTCTATCAGGGAGTGTTTTTCACAGGATATTTAGTTTTCCTTTTTGAGAAAGGCAAGATTGACATGACACTGGGTTGCTTGCTTTTCAGTTTTCATTGCTGTACTTCACTAGCAAGGCAGGAACTGCATGCTGTCTATGTTTAATTGCTTTTAAGTATAACTGCTACAAGCCTTCGTAATTATAGTTCCCATTCTCTACATTAACATGAAACTGCTCCCTTTGGGTTTTCAGAGTGATTCACAAATGAATGCATTCAGCTTTAAATAGTTCAAGAACATCATAGAACCCAAAGGTGAAGGATAAAGAATGATTCCTTCCTTCCCAGTACCAAATACTTAGAAAATACCAGGGCAGAGGCTTCCTGGCCCTAAATGTCATGCTTATCCTAGTCAGCAAAGACTGGCTTAAGCTTATTGAGAGACAGAATATGATGATTTATTGGTTGATTATATACCCTAGGAAATGTCCTTAAATAGCAAAATACCTACACTTAAATCTACCTCTGTTGGGTTACAGTGCTGGATTGAATGAGGCCTGTCTTGAAGGGAAATGTCAACAAAGCATTGAAATAGTTTTGCCTTCTCATGCCCAAAGCAGATGCCATAGGTCTGGAGGCAGGACAATGTAAGATAGGTTTCCTGCCACATGGAGAAAGCTCTATAATTCTAACTTGGATAGAGGAGGATTCCAAACACTGTTTTCCCACCAGTAAGTGGCAATGCTTTTGAAAGGGAATACAACAGAATTGTGATTTAGACTCATTACCATGAAGGAGATAACTGGTTTCTACCCTGAGAAGTTCTGATTGATGGGTCCTGTTGTCTTCTTTAAAGCTATGTGGACAATGTCAGTACAAAGAGCAATTTCTTCCATTACTGCTACCTACTGAAGTCAGTCAGGGCTTAGGAATTACCCACAGTCAAATGCATGGGTTTGTTTTTAATATAGGTTAGCAAGAATTTTTTAACTCTTATTTTTAGTGGTGAAGATTATCCTCAAAGGGAATAGTAACGGCAGGTGTATCCCACTTGGGTTGATCTCCTAGCATTGACTGATGCTCTAAAGGTATTGTGAGAAGCAGAGTCTGTTCTTTTGCAAGCAAAAGAACCCATCCCCATATTCCAATCTTCTTGCATGTTGGAGTATGAATATCTTATTTAAGGCTCTCCAGTCACTTCCTCACCTGCTGCTGCTGAGCCAGCATTTGGCTTGCAGGTTGAAAGGATATAAAACTCACAGTCTTATTCCCAGTTATCTCAACTTTTGCTTTGGTATGTGGCTTATAGACTTGCAAATGTGTTGACTCAATCATGTTTGAATCATGCTTGACCCCTTCATCCACTGAGTTATAGATAGATTCATTTGAGTATTTAGGGACCCTTGGCTCCAGAATAAAAGTAAAGAGTGTACAATCCACAGTCATCAACCTCAACTTTGGAAATAAAAATCCCAAATAACTTTTTGGTTTGTAATAAAAAGAAGGAAGTGGGACACGGCTGGTCCTGAGGAGATGAAAAGGCACATGAACCATCACTTGGCATCAACAATTGGAGAAGCAGAAGTGTTTCAAGCAAATCAATATAGGTTATTTTGGATCATAACCAGGGAAATTTTTCAGAAAGACATTTATGGCTTCTTTATATCTTTAGTAGCTGCTTCCTTGGGGAAGGCATCACTTTTAGGAAGGAGGAAGAATTCAAAGGAGGCGCCTATCTTTGGTCACATTATTTGTATGAGATACACATGGCAACCAGCAGCTTATCCCAATAGTTCATCTCACTGTTACTCTTTTTCAACAGGAAGAAATCTGAGCACAGGGCTAGATTTGGGGGTTTCATAACTGACCCTGTTGCCATTTTTTTTCCTTCTTTCCATTTGCCAATCTCCCTGCCTGGATGTGCAGCTGAAAAAGAAGCAAGTGTATGTCGATAAGGTGGAGAAGATGCAGCAGGCCCTAGTGCAGCTCCAGGCAGCTTGTGAGAAACGTGAGCAGCTGGAGCACCGACTCCGGACACGTTTGGAGAGGGAACTGGAATCCCTTAGAATCCAGCAGGTACTGGGTTACTTCCTGGGGATGGACAGAGATCAGTGAAATGATTCTGCCCAACTGTATTTTAATGAGCCATTATGCTTATTAAGGTTACTTGCAGAAATTCTGGCGAGATGTAGGTGACTCAAATGCAGCTGGAAAGCTTGGCCCAGTGTGATGACTCACAATGGCCAAATCGCTAAAGATCCCTGACCAACATTCAGGCTGCTCCACTAATCAGATTTTTTTTTTCTCTCGAGCAATTGTTACTACTTATATAACCTCGGGGAGTGGGCTTATGAATCTTGTGTTAGGTATCTTAATATTGCTTACTTCTTTACTTCTTGAGGCTCATAAGTTCCATTTATTTCCCAAGTCTTACAAGGTATGGAATGAAGGAAAGGAAGAAAAGAAATGCCATTGCGTGTTCTTTTTTTTTTTTTTTTTTTTTTTTTGGTGCTTGGTGAAAGACACTAGAGGCATTTATTTACATGCTTGCTCATCTTTACATTTTCACCATCTCCCCATGTTACTGCAGAAGGCTTTGCCAGTATAAACACAAAGCCTACCTGTTCCCTTAGCTTCCTATTCCAGCAAAATCCATTGTAGTTTCTTCCATCTTTTAGTTTTCACATGGACCGAAACAAGAGACCCTATATGAAGTGAAATAGTTACAAACCTACATTCTTAGATGTTTTGGGATCTTGGGCAGATTTTCTGTTGTTTTATTTTGAGACCAGGTCTCATATAGTCCAGGCTGGCCTCCAGCTCAGTCTGTGCAGTTATACATCACCACATCCAGCTGGAAGTAGTCCTTAGAAATCTTTTGGCCATTGGGTTTCTAGGAGAAAAAAAATCAAGAACCCCAACCCACACAAAATGTTGCACAACTCACCAAATATCTCATAAATTAGGGATGGTTTGGGAAACAAATCATAGATTTAAAATTTTTCCATTTCCCTAGTGCAGATTTTCTTTCATTAATCTAATTTCTTAACAACATAGCAATTTGATAAAGTAAAGGCAGATTTTTGTTCTGATCAAGGAAGTTTCTTATTGCAAGCCCAAGTCCTGTTGTGATTTGAATTCTCCTTCCTTGTTTTGAGTCAGGATTCAAACTAAGAGCTGAGGTTGGGATTAGCTTAGTGATAGAAAACTTTACCAGGGCTCACAGCACTAAAAAAGTATCTTTAGGTAGATTGAGGCCCGGAGATACAGTTCAGTGACAGAGTGCTTGCCTAGCATGCACAAATCCAGGTTCGATCTCTACGGCAATACAAACAGGCAGGCAGACAAACAATAGCTTGGACAATCTCTTATAAAAATGAAAGCTCTTCACATTGGATTTGGTAGGGGAGCTGTGACAGGGGTTTCCTTAGTTCAAGGCCAGGCAAGGCCAAAGACTGAGACCCTGTCTTAGAAAATCATCAATGTTAAGTAGATATAAATAAGTAAATAATAAATCATCTTCAAGTGGATTCTGGGCACGAAGGTTGTTCTTTCACTAACTTGAAGGGTCTCGGTGTCTCCCTTAACAGCGCCAGGGCAACTCTCAACCTACCAGTGCTTCCGAATACAACGCTGCTGCACTGATGGAGCTCCTTCGGGAAAAGGAGGAGAGAATTCTGGCCCTGGAAGCAGATATGACAAAGTGGGAGCAGAAGTATTTGGAAGAGAATGTGATGAGACATTTTGCTCTGGATGCTGCTGCAACTGTGGCTGCACAGCGGTAAGTAGTTGGTAGGAGGGGGCCACTAGATGAAAGAGAAGAATGGGAAAACCACGTATCGTAATTTATTCAGAGATTTCCCAATGCTAGTCTCTTTTAGCACTCTTTCCCCCCACCCCCTCCAGTTTCTCCTCACATACATTTTCGTTCTTCCAATTACACATAGACTGGATGGCTTTGGGGTTAGAGGTTTAAGGACTTCAAAACGTGTACTCTATGACCTTTTTGGAATCATAACTGAGTTTGCCTTAGCGAGCTGGAGTGTTGCAGGTGGGCACCTTCCCCCTATTAGCTATCGGCACCCTCGGCTACATGTGCTTGCTGTTTAGTCTCCGTACCAAAGTGAAATCCCCTCCAGAGAAATTCCACTCAGAAAGCAAATACCACTCTGGAATAGCTGCTGCCATTTGATAGTTCTGGCTCATCCTGGGTATGTGCCGAAAATGAGTCCATCACTGCCCTTTGAGAAGGTCTATATTTGAAGGCCACATTCTCTGTATTCCTGAGCTCATCACATATAAGTAATCTCAGTCTATCTGGTACAGAGAGAAAAAGGCAAGAGGAATGTTATTTCTGGTTTCTTAGACACCTTCTTTGTGTATTATAAAAAGTAATTATTAGGTAGCATTTAGAGGAAATAATTACTCTTCACTAGTTTTTCTGTGTTGCTGCTGTTCATAACCATTAGCTGGGAAAGAACCCAATAATGGATAGAACCTACACATAGACTTGAGTATTGAAGGTCATGTAGGGTATATTGTACCCAAACAGGCTCCTGTCCAGAAAGTTAATAGAAACAGTAGTGTTTTTTTTTTTTTTACATTCTTACAAATGTGATACATCAGTAGAGTCCAGCACTTGCTAGGCATTGGGCAGTGATAGATATGTGGAATTTATCAGTGTGCAAGATGGACTGGCACATTCTCAATCTGCTCGGGATTCTCCCAGAGTTCTTCCATCCTCCATGTGAGGAGATAACCTCATACCCTTAATGGACTGAAGGTGTCTTTGGCCTAATCTTGGTTGTCTTCATGAGCTAAAGCTTCCCAGGCTCTGTTTCCTGAGAAAAGCTTGCTCAGTAAAAGCCAATTTCCTAATGGTGTGCAAGGAAACTCCAGCTGTGTCAGAAGATGGTCACAAGACTTGGGGGCAGATTAGAAGCAGAATGTAGTGTCAAATTACCTACAGGCTCCCAAAGAAGTACAGCACATGTTCAGAGTTAATGTGAAAGACTGATGCTGAAAACCTAGCTGTGGTGAGCCATGGAGATGCAGGGTAATTTTATCAGCTTCAGGCAGATGAATGATACAGCTCGCAATGGGACTGACAACAGAATGGGCTCCAGGGCAAAGTACAGGAAAGCCAGAAAGGTACTTGGTGTGAGGGGCCTTATATAAAGAGAAGAACACCCATTCCTCCTCTCCTGTATTGAAAGCACTAGGTAACAATGAATTCCTTTGTAGATCTATGTCTAAAATAGGTTGGTTCATATGACTTGCATTTGATTTAAATTGAATGGCTTTTTTTTTCACTAGGTTGTAAGTAATCCTGTAATTACTGCTTTCAGCAAAAATATATATGATTATCATTTAATATGATAAAATACCTCCCGTTCCCAGCATTCCCAGCTAGTAGGAATAGGAGACAACAGGAGAAAACGGGAGAGATATTGTCTTGGAATTCCCATGACATAAATGAGCTAGACTAGATGAATTCTCCAGATGCTTCTATTAAAGATTTATACTGTAGTTACAGAGATGGTATCATTGCACTTTGCTATGGAGAGTGGTTCCCTTTTCTTCATTCTTCATTAGATGACAAATTTCGGGAGTAATAGCCAGAAAATGTTATTTCTTAAGTTAAAGGCTTTCCTGTCTACCTTGCCAAAATCTCTTCACATTCCTTCTCCATTTGTTACCTTCCCAGAAGCCAACCTAAAGGGAGACCTGAAGAGTCTGCCCTGTGACCTCTTTCTGTGGTGGAAAACTTCATATATATATATTCTTTCATTCATTGCAATTTTAAAAGGCTTAATACTGGCTGCAGACAGAAAGTGCTCAAAATTTAATCAAGGAAGGAAAGAAGAAAACTTGGGAGCAAAGAAGGAAGGAAAGGAGTAAGGGAAGGAAAGATTTGGTTTCTATATGTGTAACTTATATCCCCTGATTTAATTGGTACTACATTTTCACACCGTGTTTACAACTCAGTGTAAAATATTCTAAACATCACAGCTCTATGACAGGTAGCTCACAGGTAAGTGACATGTTTCACAGTGAAGTCACCTTCTTTGAGTGATGTCAGTAGTAGCTGTAAATGATAGCATTTTCTTTTTTCAGTTAAAAATGTTAGTCACCATAGTGAAAACTAACCACTTCAAGTGTACAATTGGATACATTTTGGAAAATAAATACAACAGTGGAGCTACTACCTAAATCAAAGTAGAAGACACATTTTCACATGACCTTGTGTCCCTTATACTTCATGCTCTCACTAGACAATGACTCATCTGGTTCCTGTCGATATAAAGGGAGTGGTATTGTGTTTGTACTTTTTGTTTTACTTCTTGTGCTCAGCATAATTATTTTGAGCCTTCCCATTTGATGTATGTATTAATAACCCATGCCTTTTTATTTCTTTTTAATATGTCATACAGTGGATATATCATAGATGATTTAGCCATCCATCTGGTGATGGCTATTTGGATTATTTCCAATTTGGGACTTCTAGATATAATAAAATACAAATTTTAATAAAATAGTAAAGATAAAAGTTTATTTTCTTGGATTAGAAGGCATACCAGGGTAGTCTGTTTATACCCTTTCTAGCACTTTGATTCTGACTAACCTTTTGCCAAGCGAAAGCTGTTGCTACAATTATTTCAAGAAGGTATAGGGAAATAGAAGTTTCTAGGAGTAGACAGTGATACTGATCAGAAGTGCACATAGGTGAATTCTATTCAGGGTAAAGGAAGGAAAGAGTGGGAGAAAGAAAGAATATAGTAAAGACCTTTGGCTTTTCTAGAAAGGAAATGCAATTTTTTTCTTATTTAAAATAAGTACTTGAGGTGAGGGCAGCACAGATGTGTTATGTCAGTACACCAGGGGAAAAGGCTGTGAGTTCAAAACCAGCTTAGGCTAAACAAGACCTGTATAAAATAAAATAGTATTTGACATTTTAATATCATTTGTCCTAAGGATACTAGAAAATCTATTTTCTTTGTTGAAAATGGGCAGTGCTCTTTGGAGAACTTTAAACTTATAACTTGCCCTTACAATGCTCAAAGGTAGGTGCGGTCATCCATTCGATTCTCAGGCACAGAGGAATTATATCATCTAGAAATCCATACCAAAGGACACAAGAGCCAGAACTTAAAGCAACATGTTTATCACCTTACTTGTCTCCTAGATGCTGTGTGGCTCAATGCTTGTGAACTTGACATCACTAGCTCTTCAATACAGTATTAGTTGAGGCTTATTACTTATGCACATGGAAGCATTATAAACAATTGCACCATCACTTCCTGCATTCAGGCTCAGAATTACTGGGTCTCTAGAGAATCTAGGTATTTAATATGATAAATGGAAATCCCTACGGAGAGGTTTTTGTTCATTCCCAGAAGCCCAGACTTGGCGATGCAGATTTTGAGTTTGAGCTCATAAATGGTGAATTTATGCCTGAAGAGCAGCGAAAAAGATAATATGATAACAACTCATCAACCCTGCAATCTGTCACATTGAATTTACTGATTTGGGTTCTTAACTCTACTTAGAATGTTTCCATTTTATATTGGGAAATTTAAGTCCAGAAAAAGGGGAAGTAAAGTAAGAAAGGGCAAGAAGAAGACATATAGCACACACGGCTATTTTTTTTTTTTCCTTCCTTAGCGGCCTTTCTCGGCTTCCATATTCTACTTCTCATTCTGTATTCTGTTATAGTTACCTTGTTTTATACCATGACTTCTCTGAAAAAATGCTGTAATAGTAGTTCTTATATCTCTGAGATTAAACTTTAAATCTCAACAGCTTATTGAATCTTGCCTTGTGGCTGTTCTCAAGACAACTTTTCTTCAATAGCTCTGAAATCTGATGTCATCAGCACTTTCCAAAAATTTTCTCCTTGATTTCCTGTGTGACAGCAAACAGTAGTCCATGATTGGAATTGCAACTACAGTTCTGATTTATGCTGTCACCATCACACCCAATGCTACCATTGATATAGTCTCCAAGTTCAGTCTCATCCACCTCCTCCAGCCTGCTAATGTTTCCCTGGCTACTTTACTGGTTTGTATTTTCATTATTGCCTTGTGGGATTACTGCAATCACCTTCCTAGCTGGTCTTCTTGATTCAGGTGCCTCTCTCTTCTGATCCATCCATCACATTTCCGCAACAGATAGTGCTATTGTCCTAAAGCTTGGCACAGGTCCTTTCATTCCCCACTGTAAGTTCTAGTAATTTTCAGTGCCTATTAGACTAAAGTCCAAACTCATTCCTGTGGTGGTTAATTATTTATCTTTTGTCTTCCCTTGCAAGTTTCCTGAAGCCAGAAACTAATCATTTCCACGTCTTTCTCCTCTCTGGCCTCCCACAGTGTTCCACTTATGGTAAAGTTCTTGTATTAAATAAGCAGAAAAAAAACAAACCCTATTTTTGATCATCTGAGACAGGGTCACTATGATGTGACCTTGCCTGGCCTAAAGCTTGCTATATAAAGCTGGTCTTGAACTTGTAGTGGTCCTCCGGCCTCAGACTTCCAGGTTCTAGGATCACTAGCATGAATCATCACACTAGTCAAGATGAAGTTTAAATGGCCACTAGGTGTTTTAAATAAGGGTTGTGCTGTGGTGACACACATCTTTAATTCTCTACTCAGGAGGCAAAGGCAGGTGGATCTCTTGAGTTCAAGGCCAGCCTGGTGTATAGAGCAAGATCCAGGATAATCAGAGCTACACACAGAGGAAACACTGTCATTTGAAAAAGGGCATTTTAATTAGGAAGCCAAGAGTGACAGTCTCAAGAGTATGGTAGTTTGGATTGTGCTATCAGATGAAAAAGATAATTTAGGGGCCATTGACAAACATCTGTTTATATTTAAGAATTTGAGATGATGGTATATCAGGTTCAGGGGCAAGTGTCTTAGGCTTTGCATGCTGTTTTCAGACTGCAGCCTGTATCTCCTGATATTCTTGAGGGCAGTCTCAGAGTACTGGAACTTGTTCTTCAAATGCTGTACTAGCTTGCACTTGCAAAGCCACTGGCTTCATAGCCCTAGATTTCTACAAGGAAGATTGATACTGAGGGCTGTCCTGGCAGCCCTGTAGGAATTCACTAAGTGCCCCACATTTCAGGCTCCATTCCTGAGGAGTTCACAGTGTCCATATCAATTAGCTGGCAGGGCTCTGTGTACCCAAACTGGTCTTTTATGCAATGAAAGTGGCAGTAGTCCAGTACTAGTTCCCCAAATGACAAACTGTACGTTCAAGCCCCCAGTGTCTGTAGACACCATGCACTTTTCAAGAGGCTTGGCTCAAAAGTGTTAGCCTTCAGTTTCCCTTGGCACTGTGTTAGGGCAGAAATAGCCTCCAGGACCAAGGGGTAGAATGTTGTTGTTGTTGTTTTTTTTGGGGGGGTGGTAAAATGTTTTAAAGTCATACCCACTTTTAGTTATTCTCTTTTTACTTATGCACTTCTCGATATTAAAAAGCATTTTTGATTGCTTTTTGCTGCGCCTGATGGTATGTGTTTTTCCATGAATAATTTTATTTTGTATAAAGTGGAAGGAAATGCCATTTTGATTGTCATTTTGATACAAGGAAGAGTAAGCATAAAGCACGTTAACTGACTCTCGAATATCAGCAAGTTTGTTAGTGGCAGAGTTTATGGAAGCTGAGACTTGATCCCGGGGCTGGCTATAGTAAAAGCCTTGATGTCAAGAATGTGCAGTGCTGGTTCCTCTCACACGGTCCAGTAGGATTGTGAACAAGTGCATTGCACGGGAAGAATGTAGAATTTGGGGATGTTAAAATAGTGTGAATTTGACATCTGTATCCCTCCTACTTCTTGACACCAATAACTTTGCAAATGAGCTATAGGCACAGGGACAGCATTGGCTTTTGCAGAGACCTACCAAACTTCCCCATTCTTAACAATAATTTACCACCTGTTCTTTCCTGTTATTTTATTACACCCTACATACACTCTTCATAATCTCAATGCTAAGAGAACACAGCTATTTAGCTTCCAGCAGATAATATGCCTAGGATCTGGGAGAAGTACAGTGAAGCAGGGACAGTTCATTCTTCTGCAGGCTATCGTCCTAATTTCCTTTGTAATTCCCTGTACGTCTTCCCTTAATCATAAGACCTCTTTCCCTTAGTCCTCATCTCTGTTTCCCTCTTTTGTTTCTCTTCCTTTCCCCCTCTCTTCCTCTGCCATTCTCTCCTATGCACACATGTTTCTACTTGTTAATAGTCATTGACTTAATGGTCTGAGACAATTCCAGGTGGAATGTGATGACCCCTTGCATAGCTGAGACTCTAGCAAGAGAACAGTCATTTAGTTGGTATAAGCTCATGCATTCAGCGATAGAGTGGTTCTGATGCAAATGAGATAAAGAACCAAAGGCCGTTTTTGTTAGTTCATGTGTCCAAACTGATTTTAACTGTTTGTGTGGCTGCTGTTTGTTTCTAGCCCTCAAACTGTCACAGATCCTACTCAGCAAATTCTCTGATTTTCTGCAAAATTTAATCTTTCCACTTTGTGACTGTTAGGAGACTAAAGTGGAAAGTGTAAATATTCCTCCTGCTGTTTGGTCACCTACAATCTTGAATGGGACTAGCTTCTAGAAGTTTTGGGGAGACATGTTGATCTAGTTCTGTAAAGCCGGTGTGTACACATTTTACTGAATCCCCTCTGACTTTGGCAGCCATGTCCATGTCAGTGCCTTTTCCACCCTGGAATCTTCCTTGCTGAAAGCTCTTCCCAGTAAGTCACTCAGAAGCCAACCATTCCTATTGAGATTAAATTTGCTTTAAATGATTTCAGCAAAGTCTCCACTGACTTAGGATAGAAAATACCAACTGTTGATTTTGATACCTACTCCTCATAATCACTACCCATTTTCCTCCTCAGAGACACAACTGTCATTAGCCACTCTCCCAACACCAGCTACGACACAGCCTTAGAGGCTCGTATCCAGAAGGAAGAGGAAGAAATCCTGATGGCCAACAAGCGCTGCTTGGACATGGAGGGAAGGTAAAATCTGGATGTGGACACAGATGGGTTGAGAATTTGATATTGAGACCAGCTAGATCAATAGGGAAGGACAAGAAAGTTTATTCATAAGTGGTGAACTTGATTTTATAACCTGTTCCTCCCATCTATTTTTACCCCTGCCAGTTGCTTACCTAGGGTTTGATGTGATGGCTTTTATAATGAACATTCTTACTAACTATGCAATTCCAAGTAGGGTTGCTTTCCCCTGTATTTTGTATTCTGCTAGATCTGAGATTTTGAGGTATTCTTCTTAGCATGACAGCTCAGTTCTTTAATACAGCCAACCTCACAATAAAACATCTATCCAAACTGGGAAATACAGCACCCAATGTTTTTTTAGACTCGGTGTCATTTACTTATTTGCTCGAGGCCATGTCTTAGTAGAAGACTATCTTCTCACTGAACTTACTGTTACTATAGATGAAGTCCTTCATCAAAGAATGACTTCCTTCCTTTATAACCTTTCTGTTTGCCAATATTTGACTTTGATTTTCTGATGTGTCAGCCAAAGCTCTTAGATGCTCTCTTGCATCTACTCGGCAGTCCAGGGGATGCTTTATATTTTCTTTAAATCTCTAACATACTGACCCTTCCCTCCAGTGCAGAATAAACTAGACCAACACTTAATTGAAAAGATAATGGGAATGCAAATCCATTTAGGCAGTGAGATAAGAATACAGAGGTAGCAACCAAGTTTCTGTATGTGCTTTCTCTCTGACTTTTAGGATTAAGACCCTCCATGCCCAGATTATTGAAAAGGATGCCATGATCAAAGTGCTGCAGCAGCGTTCCAGAAAGGAGCCAAGTAAGACAGAGCAGCTGTCATCCATGAGGCCAGCGAAGTCTCTGATGTCCATTTCCAATGCTGGATCAGGCCTGCTTGCCCACTCATCTACTCTGACTGGTACCCCCATCATGGAGGAGAGGCGAGATGACAAAAGTTGGAAGGGGAGCCTAGGTAATGAAAATAAGAGCATACAAGGGAAATGCACAGTGACATACTTAGAAAGTGTCCTGCCTGTGTTACACACAGCAAGGGGAAAAGTCTGTGATTCGGGGTCTAGAGAGGAGAATTTGAGGTTACTTTTCCCCCTGATGGAACTAGCTGCATGGCCAGGAGCTCTGAAGTCTCATGGTAAGAACATTAACTGAGGCAGAAAATGAGGATCCTGAGTTGTTTGGTGATGGGAAGGAAGATAACTTGAATTTTATGTTAAAAAAAATTCTCAGATTTGGCTTTTGCCACATGAGAACTTTGTTCAGTAATCAAATGGATTTCGTCTCAGGCAAAATTCAAAAGTACAGCCTCACTGTGTTCCTTCCTCCCCTACAGAAAGAGGACCTCAAGTTCTCTTTAAGCTAATGGGGTGAGGTGGCAGCTCTTGTTACCAAAATGTTCTGATATGGGAACAGAATGTGCTTTTTCGTTCAATTCCTATCCATTTCACCCCCTCTAATTAAAGCCTCAGAGGCCCATAGATACTGAGACACATTTTTTAACCCAAGGAAGCAACAAATATATATTTCAAAACTTTTGTTGTTTTTAATGCCTTTCTTGGTCCTCTGACTCTTGCAGTATCCTTTAGTTAGAACAAACATTCTGGAAGCCACTGTCATGTTTAGCATTGCAGTTAAACACCTAAAAGCACTCTTGTGAATATCCACAGGTACCCCATACCGCTGGGTTATTTTCAGCTCTCTGGTAATGTGGGATATTAATATTACTGGAACAGAAAAGCACTCAGACAAGTTGGTCTGCCATCATCACCAATGTGTGTGTGTGGGGTGGGGGGGAATCTATCGGGTACCAAGGACAGGGTAAATAATATGTTGTGTTAAGAACTGGATAATGAGGAAAAGAAGGGATCCTCTAAACTCCAACATCAACACTGGAGGCAACACAAACACTTTTCAAAGCAAATGCCAAGTGTTTTCTTTTTCTGAATTCAGACAAGGGTGACTAGTTAATCAGTATCTAGATGGGAATCATCTACTTTTCTCTTCTCCCTTGCTTCATTGCCAGGCATTCTTCTGGGTGGAGACTACCGTGCTGAGTCTGTCCCGTCCACACCTTCGCCTGTACCTCCATCAACTCCCCTGCTCTTGGCTCACTCGAAGACAGGCAGTCGAGACTGCAGCACCCAAACCGAACGTGGATCGGAATCAGCCAAAACCGCAGCTGCCACTCCCATCTCTGTGCCGGTGCCTGTTCCAGTTGCTGCTGCTGCCACTGCTGCTGCCATCACTGCAGCTGCTGCCACCAACACTGCCACAGCTGCCACCAACACCACTATCATGGTAGCTGCTGCTCCAGTTGCCGTTGCTGCTGCTGCTGCTCCGGCTGCTGCCACTCCCCCATCTCCAGCAAATGCCGCTGCTCTTGCTGCTGCTGTCTCTCCAGCCGCTGCTGTCTCTCCAGCTGCTGCTATCTCTCCAGCTGCTGCTGTCTCTCCAGCTGCTGCTGTTCAGATTCCAGCTGCTTCATGTCTTACTTCTGCTACTGTTTCTCCCACTCCTTCTGCTGCTACTGCTGCTGCCACAGCAGCAGCTGCTGTTGCTGCTGCTGCTACTGCTGTTCAGGTTGCTCCAGCTGCTTCGGCTCCGGTTCCAGCTCCAGCTCCGATTCCGGCTCCAGCAACGGCTCAGGCTTCTGCTCAGACTCCGACTCAAGCATCAACTCCAGCTCCGACAGCAGCTCCTACTCCAGCTCCAACTCCAACTCCAGCTTTGGTTCAGGCTGAGGGTCCTGCAAGTCCAGGTGCCACTTCTGGACCACGCTGTTTGTCCACACCAATTCTGATGTGCAACCCAGACAAGCCAGGTAATCCCAATTTTGCTTAGCAGATATCTTCTGCTTTTGTTCTCAGGAATTGATATATTAGCTGGTGCTTGCCATTTCGACAGAGTTGAGTGCTTCATGATCTAATAAGGATTGGTCAGAGGAGAGAAAAGAAGAGCTTCTGGACATGCTTTCTCTCGTTCAGTAAAATGGAAATGGTCATGAATGGCCATTTTCCCAGTAAAGTAAATCATGGGGATGCCTAGTCGGATTGTTTGAAAGGTTTTTTTTTTGTTTGTTTGTTTTGTTTTAAACTTTGTCTCTAAGTCTTTTCTAACCTCTCATTTTCACCGCGTAGATGGTCCTGTTTTCCACACCAGTACTCTGGAAAGAAAAGCACCCATTCAAATCCTGGGTCAAGAGCCTGATGCAGAGATGGTGGAGTATCTCATCTAAACAGCATCATCAAGAGCTGACGTTATCAGCAAGAGATCTTTTAACCATTTTTCCCTTTTGTTTGCTTAATCTGGGGTGATGATGGGGTTGGGAGGTGGGGTGATTTTTTTAAAGGGACTTTATATTGGACTCTTGTAGTACTTAATACCATGAGAACTCCAGTCTATTTTTGGAATACATAGGGAGTACCTCGAAATGATAGGTTAAGCCGAATGCACTCTAAAGCTTATTGGTGGAATTGATGCAAATCATGGACTTTTAACCTGTAATGATGTCCATTGATTTAAGATGTTTCAATTTGTTTTTCAAGTTGCCAATTTGAGGTCATTTTTCATTGAAGAATACAGTATGTGTGGAAGGCAGTTTGGAACACGTAGTTCAGAAGTGGAAATCCAGAGAAAGTTTGAGGCCTTGCTGCTTTGTCTAGCTACTACCTAGACAACAGCCACAGAAAGTTTTCACTTTGAGCTGGGGAAAGAAAATGTTTTTAGGAGCTCTGAAAGCTGGAGAAAAGGAAGAGAGTATTGGGGTTAAGAAGGGTGCTGGAGGTAATTTTCTCTCCCAGTTGCCAGTTACCCTGACCTCTCATATCGATGGTATTTATCTCCATTTCAATGGTGCTTTGGAAGTGGATTCTTTTGGTCCCCTCCTGGAGGTTCATACATTCATATATATACTCTGGAATAATTTATGCATTTGGATAATTAATATATTGCTTTCAGATGGTAGGAGAGTAAATGAACAGAGTGATGCACAACTTCCTCACTGATAGGGAGTTAGTTACAAGCCTTGATGGAGGTCTTCATGAGATGTTGCATGCAGATTTTAGTGATCTGAGAATAGTCATGAACATGGATGGCTCAGTCACCTTAAATGAGACCAGTTGACTGACTTAGCTTTTATTTCTTCCACAATGCAGACTCACAATGCAGTCCCCTTTTTTTGCCAATAATTTGCAAAATGAAGAAACATCTTTTATTTTTTGGACAGGTTGAATGTGTTGATTTTCTGCCTAATACTTGGAAATATTTCATTTATGTTTCCCCAAATTCTTAGCATGTGTCTTAAAGGCATATGCAACTGTCACCTCCATGGAAATAACACAAGATGTCCAAAGTACCAGGCTGCAGTCAGGAGAGAGGTTGATTGCAGCAATCTCCTCAACTACCTCTTCTCACTGTCAGTGACTCCACCTTGGAATCCCCTTGGGAAGCAGCTGGGAATGTATACATGGGCGGGACCAAACTGGGAGCCTTGCCATAGGGCTGCCTCTAAGGACACAGAGGCTGTCAGTTGTCATGGGTCCTTGTCCTTAGTCTCTGCCCTTCATTAAAATGATAGAACTGCAGATAGTATCACTAAGATCAGTTTTCAGGGGGTATAGGGAGGGTAAGGGGAGGGGGGCTATTAGGTAAAGGGGAGTAGAGGTTTAGTGATAGGTTAAGTTAGAGATCAGATTAATAGAAGGGTAGCCTGTATATTATTCTATGGGCTTTAGTGATGGGAAGGAACTTTATCTAGCAGTGTAGCTCTTCCATCTAATTTTAGTGATGAGGAATCTGAGACTTGGAAAAGTTTGAATTTTCAAGATCATTCAGCACATCTATCTGTACTGACAATTACATAGCTATTTTGGGAGAAATAATTATCTATAAAGAAGAGCCTGTTTTGAAGGAAAGGCATCTTTCTAATCTAGGGGATGCCTACTTTATGAAAATCTTGGTTTGACTAGATTGTTTGTGGTTCTGAACTCTTGTTGTGTCTCTGCTGGAGTGCCTTGTATGAAATTGTTTTCCTCATCCCATTTAATCATTGTGCTACATGAAATGCACCCATAAAAAATCAACTCAACTGTTTTCACTAGAGAATTGGGTGTCTTGGGTCATTTTGTGTATTCTGTGAGTTTAAGAGTGCTATATTTACCTGTATTCTTGTGTAGTTCTTAATTACCTTCCAAAGGATTTATTGTGTGTATGTGTGTACATGAGGGAAGGCAATGCAACAACTTTTAACTAGTTTTTCATATTATTAATAACAAAATGATCATCCAATACATTGATCCTCAGTTAAACAGAGAATGCCAAATGAAAATTTGAAAGTGCAGTCATGTTAATAATGCTCACCACACCATTTGTTGTTGTTGTTACAAGGAAACAAACCTTCAGACAGTAGAAAAATCAGGCAGCAAGTACCAGGAGAGCTACTTTCTGTCTAAGCAAATAAATGGAAATAAAAGAAACTTTACATGTCCTCTCCTGATGATAGCATATTGCTAGAGTTTGGGCTGACTCTGGGAGCCATTATTCTAATCACGTTCTGTAAAGAGATAGATGTGATACATTCCTCACTGTGTGGCAACCATCTCTTTAGAGTCCTGTTTTTGAGGAAGAAGGAAGTCCTTGCTGAAGTACTATTTTGAACTTTCCAGAAACTCTCTGGCCTGTGACACTAGAGATAGTCAGTCTGTTCAATTTTCAGTCCCAGGCAATTTGCTACAATGACATTATACATCTAAGGATGGATGAAGACTACATTGGTATAGTCTGTTTATGGACCACACAGACACTACCTTTGAGAACATTTCTACTAGATGTCAGTTTAAAAATTCAGTTATATGGGATAAATCTCAAAGTAGCCACCTCTACACAGTTACGTGGATGTAACATTTGGAGCCTCTTCCTGGACTTCCTTTTGTCTACAATAAAATGTATGCATTTTACTGGCACCCCAGAAGAGGAGGGAGCATTTGTTGTCTTAATTTTTACTGTCTGGTAGTCTATGAGGATCTTATACTTCATTTGTTACCAGCAATGTTCCGTGTCCAGCAAAATTTCATTTGATTGAACTATACTTGATACAAAACTCTTAACATTGTTGGGGAAGTAAAGTTGGCTTGAACTTCCCGTGAAAGTCATGTATTGCGACTGTTGTCTTAATGAAGGTTTTACTTTCAGTGTTGCTTTTGAGCTGCAGGGTGATGGGGTAGAAGAAACTTGAAACATCTGCCATAATCTGTGACAGGAAGTAGAGCAAGATACCTGCCATGTCCTCCTTTTACTTTTGCACTGTTGAATGGGTCTAACAAACCAATTCCCAAGCTACTTTTTATGAATAATCTAAATAATGTGGCAGCTTAAAATATAGATGTGTGTGCTAACTTTAATAAATGTTCATGTCTGTTAGCCATACAATCTGTTATCTTAAAAGCTCATTCTTACACGGAATATGTTACTTAAAATATGTTCCTTCTTCCAGAAAAATGTTTGCAAAGGGAGGTATTGGCTGTGGGTTCGTTGTTACCAATTTCTGCCTGCCACAATCTTTAGGAATTCTTCTTCCAAGTGCCACCATTGACAGTAAGACAAGGGTTGGAAGCATCTACATTTTCTTCTGGTAGCAAGGGTGGATTACAAGAAGCTTTCAAACCTTCTGACCTCCTTTGTTATCAGTGGCCTATATTTAGTAAAATGGCTAGATGGGGTTGGCAGATGGTGCGAGAAGAATTACTTTTGGTTTAATATATGTGGTCTCATAGTGGTTGTGATCCTATTCTGTAATCAAATAAAGTTAAGCAGGTTAAACCCACTTTGTGCCTATCTTTTCACTGACAATAAAGTTAGCTGTTTGAAAATGCAGCCTTGTGTGGAAAATGCTTTGGTGTTTACTGGATATAGTTTACTTTCAATTCAGTACACAGTGAAATTGTCTTGTACCAGCAGTAGCAGACTTTGCATTGGTTCAAAGTATGGGAGGTGATTAAAAAGTCTTCAGACAACAAAACAGAGAGCATGCTCTAATCTGTCTTTATATGCAAGTACAACATATGGTAAAAATCTTTACACCTTTTTCATTTCCTGGTTCTGGGGAATAAATGATGGCCACCTAAAGCAGATAATTAAGTGGGTTAGTATTTTGGAACCCCGCCTCCCCATTTGGGATGCCTTTTGTAAAAGTAGTAGTTGTGCCAATTCATCAGTTGCAGTTGGAGGGCCTTGTTAGAGAAGCAAATCACACCCATCCACATTACCAGCAACACTAAGAAGAGTCAGTGCATTTAGAGGCAAAAGCATATGAAAACAGGGAGGGAAAGTGGTGGGAAGGTATGGGAAGGGTTGGAAGAGAGGCAGTGGAGGTGGGTTTGACCAAAACACAGAGTCGGATATAAATTCAAATAATAAATAGAAATAAGTCAATAAGGGCAAAAGTTGCATCAGTTCAGTTCTCACTGAAAATGATAAGGCCACTGCCTTCTCTGCTTCATGCGTACTAGTGAGTCTGAAACCTAACTGGACGAAAGGATCTGCAAGTTCTTGGAAGAGACTTGTTTTTGATTGTTGTTACAAATGAGATTGATCAGGGACACAGAATTGATACAACTATAAATATGAGTTGGTACTTTATTCCCTCCAAGTTTATGATGAGTTATTTGAAAACTATGAATGAAAACCAGTCCCTCTTCTTCAGCACTAAAGATAATGGTAGTTAATGAACCACATCTAACAAAGCTTTGCCAACTATATTTTTCAGAAATATCTTGTCCCTGGTTTTTAAAAGGCTGTGATTCAAGGGCCCATTCAACACATACGGCATCACATATGTAGGAGCATTTCTAGGTAGTATCATAACTCAATTTGATGTCAGCCTGCTAACTCACACCTCTTGGTGTAGACATTACCCACTGATAGCAGAAATCTCATATCCCACCTTTCCTGCTGCCATCTTCCCCTACATGAAATATGGTTTATGTGCTCACATGCTTGCTTTAAAAAACAAAACAAAAAAAATAAAAAAAAATGCAAATGCTTTGATCTTAGAACATCTGCTGCACTGGTATTCACCTGTTATTTGAGGGTAGAGTTCTCAATGGTAGGACCTACTCCCCACCGTCTCCAAATAAATGTTCCTTTCAATATCTACATTGCATATCCCATCATGAATACCCCCACTCTTTGATGCACCAAATGACCAAGAACATCTATTTTGCTGCCAATATATTGTCATTTACCTCTGAATTAAGCATTATGTAAATTTATAAGTACATACTTTTTGATATTGGCATTTTGGGAAAACAAATGGAATACACGATTTTAAGTCCATGATTCTAGGAAATTAGGGAAAATTAAACATACAAATATGGCCACACACAATTAAAATTCATTGTGATACTTGAAATAACAAAAATTTGAACAAGTCAGAGCTAGTGCAAGGGAAGGAATGGTTGTTGGGATGACTTGAGGGAAACTATTTAGGTGCTAACCAGACTAGGAGGCCTAGAAAACCTTCCAAGTGAAAGGGTCTGTATGAGAAAAATATGTCAAAGGAATATTTACAAACACAAAAGTTCTAGAAAATTGCTATGGCAGTTGAAACTCTCCAGAGTACAAAACCTTGAAATCCCAATTAGGTGCTAGATAGTACAAGTTTGGAAATCAACAGGACATTGTTTGAGTACTGTCTGTCAATAAACAGATATTTATGGATGGATATGGTTTTTTGTTTGTTTTGTTTTTGTAAGATAAGAGAGGCCTCTCAATAAAACGGAAATAAATAATAATTAGTTCCTGAGTACTTTATGAGAAAACAGAATGAGCCATTCAGAACATTAAAGATAACAAAGCAATAGACTAAAATGTGGAGAGCACAGGGAATCTTGAGTGTGACGTACTGACTCAATGTGTGTTTTTGGCATGGATATGGTCATGTCAAGGGCCTTTAGCCTCCAACTCAGGAAAATGCAAAATCTGTTCTGGTTCATGTGTGGATGTAGATAGTGTGTTCATAAAATGTCCACTGTAGCCACCCCCAGATATTTATGGCCCAAAGATGCCCCCCTACATAAATTGCTCCTAATGAGATTAAGTAAATCTGTCTCCTTGATCAAGCAGTATGCCATAAGCTTTGCCTCCTTGTTTTTCTGTTTGGCTAGATGCAATAATTCCTTTTCTCTGTTTGACTATTTAATAAACAGGCTGGGATTTCTGTCTGGTAAGTCTGTGTGTTTGTCTTTTCCTCATTCCCTTTCTATCCCACTTGGGTCTGTCCCTGGACCTATGTTGTATGTGGTAGTAATATATAAATAACTAGTTTCTTTGACTTTTTAATTAAAAATCCAATGCAAAAATAGAATAGCTAGGGAAATTCGGCAGATGCATTAGTGGGCATGAATAGTTATCAACACTTCATTGATGACCCTTATTCATCTACTTTATATTACTTTTGAAGCACATTCCACACACCATAGTACTTTCCCATAAGTAATACTCATAAGGAAGAAATTTTACAATAGAAAACTTTAACACCTTATACACGAAACAAAAATTTATTAATCACCAAATGGCAAGCTATCTTTCACTAATAATCTTCTTGTCATTCAGTTGAGCATTCTTTGTTTATTATCTACTGATTTGGTTAGTGTTGTTCTTTTGATACAGCTTATGCCTAAGAAATACAAACACGAGACTCAGCGCCCACGGACTTTATTGAGAGAAGGGAGAGAAAGGGGTAGCTGGTGGCCAACTGAAAGCAGGAGAGAGAGAGAGAGAGAGAGAGAGAGAGAGAGAGAGAGAGAGAGAGAGAGAGAGAGAGCAGAGGGAAGAGAGAACAAGAAGG